GCTAATTTTGTTAATCACAGGCTGCCGCCATGGTTCAAGTCGAATGCACCTAATGTCTTTCTCCTCTGCTTCTGTGTGTTTGTTTTGCCTCTGAGAAAATCTGAGCGTGCCCAAATGGAAACTCCCATTTTTATGTAAAACCTTCCCTGGACACTCCCAGCTAAACAGAACTAGACACACCCACTTTCCTTACTTTTTTCATAGTAGAGGTGTAAAAACACACTGCTGAGACGGAAATTTTTTTTTATCCTTTGTCCGTTCACAGAGCATTTTCCCAAAGATGAAAATGTTTTCTGGCAAACCTGAGATGTGCTTTTATGTTGTTTCTGCTCAGCAGTGGTTTTCTTATTGCATCTCTGCTACGTTTTTGCCCAGTTTCTTTCTTATGGTGGAGTCATGAACACTCACCTTAACTGAGGAGAGTAAGGCATGGAGGTCTTTGGGTGTTGTTGTGGTTCTTTTGTGACCTCTTGGATGAGTTGTCGATACTCTCTTGGTGTAATTTTGGTCATCCGGCCACTCCTAGGAAGGTGATCAAGAGCAAAATTCACAAATATGACCTTTGACCAGCAAATTTGATTATTTGCTGTCATGCAATCAAAAAATGTGATTCAAATGGAAGTCAATGGGGTAAAAACAGCCCCAAACATAATGAAAGGGTAGTCAATTTGTTTATGGTTGTTTTTTTTTTTTTTAAAGATCCAAAGCATTTTCCCAACATATGTGTCAAAATAAGATTTGTCATCAAACATCAGTCCATTTGCTGAAACACTGAGAAAGTTGTGGCCAAATTAAAACTCAAAATCATCCCAGAGTGGATGAAAACAACCCAGCAGCACACAAGGGTTAACGGTGCACTTTTCAGACTTTATGCAGATTTGTCACATTTAATGTGCATCACAATTTCAGCTTGTTGCCAATTGTTTTAGCACCTTTTGACTTCAGCTTTTGATGACAGTTTTATAGACTTAATAAAAACCTGTTTTTTTATTTTATTTCAGACCTAATTGAAGAAAATGTGGCGAGTAAAGAGGAGGAACATCATGTCAAAATTGAGGAAAAAACTAATTTACAGACTTGCGGTATTTTGAAAACGAGAGACAAGAGTCATTTAATCTGCACTCAGTGTGGAATGAGTTGTAGAGGCAAAGGCCATCTTAAGATTCACATGAGGATCCACACTGGAGAGAAACCATTGACATGCACTCAGTGTGGGAAAAGCTTTAGCCAATCATCATCCCTAAATAAACACATGATGATCCACACTGGAGAGAAACCATTTACATGCACTCAGTGTGGGAAGGGCTTTAGCCAATCATCAAACCTTAATAGACACATGAAGATCCACACTGGAGAGAAACCATTCACCTGCACTCAGTGTGGGAAGAGTTTCTGCCAGTCATCACAACTTGTTCCACACATGAGGATCCACACTGGAGAGAAACCATTGACATGCACTCACTGTGGGAAGAGCTTCAGACAAATATCGACCCTTAATAAACACAAGAAAATCCACACTGGGGAGAAACCATTCAGATGCACTCAGTGTGGGAAGAGTTTCATCTTCTCATCAAACTATAATAAACACATGAGGATCCACACTGGAGAGAAACCGTTTACTTGTTCTCAGTGTGGGAAGAGTTTCAGCGTCTCGTCAAACCTTAATCAACACATGAGGATCCACACTGGGGAGAAACCATTCACATGCACTCACTGTGGGAAGAGCTTCAGCCAATCTTCACATCTTAAACTACACATGAAGATCCACACTGGAGTAGGCATGGGATGATAACCGTTTTCAAGGTATACCGCGGTTTGGAAAATGCCCATGCCTACACTGGAGAGAGACCATTCACATGTTCTCAGTGTGGGAAGAGTTTCAGATGATCAACACACCATGAACAGTAGGGCTGGGCGATTTGGCAAAAACTCTTATTTTTTTCATATTGAACAATAAATTGATAAATTACTATATAAGTTGTTAATGCTTCCAACTGTAAAAGTTATTATCCCAACAATGATTGATTCAACAAAAATTAGACGGTTGATTAAATTCCAATTTAAAATATTGTTTATTACCAAAAACAGATTACACATTTGGCCTTAAAATAAAACAAATAAAAAAATACATTTAAAAAGACTAATGTGTTCAAGGTCTGGCATTACGAGGTGAATTAAATGTGCAAAACATAAACAAAAATATACACTACAACTTCCAGCAACTCCAAACTAATTGTGAAACTTTCAGGGTTTTCAGGTGATGGAATATGCTGGTTATGTTCCCAGATTTGTTTTTCACTAAACATTGACAGGGCTCGAAATGAACCTTTTTGCTTGGTTGCACCCGTTACTACAAGTTTTATACAAACATATTTATTGCATTTGAAATCAACAGTAATCAAACTAACAAGCAAAAAAATATACATAGGCAAGCGTAAGGAAAATATGTCTCAAGGAAGTCCTGTTATCACTGGAAAATAGATTTTTGTAACATAACTGAGTGACCAAAGGTACACAGAGCACTCACCGGCCCTGCACACACTGCTTGACATGAATGAATCTGTTACCGATATAACTGTGCTGTACTAGGGTTGTAACGGTATGAATTTTTTACGGTATGATAATCGTCTAAAACAATACCACGGTTTGACGGTTTCGCGGTATACGGTATGTTACAAAATAATAGAACAGTGAAGCAAATTTGACTTTTTCCAAATAATATATTTTTAGTTTCTATAAACAACACCACTTACAATGAACAAATAAAAATAAGAAAATAATAAATAATGTGTCAAAGTCCAAATAAAGTCCAAATAAACATGGTGCAAATCCTCAGTAAAAAATAGATATAAATATTTACTATACTATAAATAGTTACATAACGAAACTAGATTCAATATGGAACATCCTTAGGTTTTATGTGCCAGCATGGATATGGTTGTCTATCGATATGGATTCGGATGTGGTTGTCTGCAATGCAGACAAACAGCTGCATCTTCATTTGCGTCTTTTGAAAACAGCAAGAGCAGCAGTTCGTCTTTGCTGTGTCACTGTTTTGTCATGTTTCTGTGCTGCTGTGCATGCAAAAGTACTTCGTATGAGAATTATTTCATGCAAAACTTTTATTTTTGCGTTTTATTTAGCCGTGCATAAATGTATGCCTATCTCTCATTCCGTGTTGTTCAAAAAGCCCATTGTTTGGTCCACAAACAAAAGCGAAACCTATGCTTATTGGTTGTGATATAGCGAGTTTGAACCAATCTGGGCATGGAGGAGGGACAATGCATCAATGTATCATGTCTGATTTGTCCGGAGACACAGTGACGAGCGTTTCTTTGTCAAATCAGCGTTGTCAAATTTTGATGACGTAACCGCACTGATTCCGGAGCCTCTGAAAGTCCGCGAATGTTATGTGATACAGCACTGAAGCTGAGATTATCTTCTTTATGCCAATCTTTGAATTGTATGAATCGGATCAGCGGATCAAAAGTTATTAAACATTTAAGAGCAATACTTATTTTTAGCCGCGGGCGGCTGTCTCGGTCTTTAAGGGTTAAAACCGTTGATATGCAATTGTTCATGGTATGATAATCGTGCACGTTCAAATCGTGGTAAACCGTCATACCGGTATATTGTTACAACCCTATGCTGTACTCACGGGTGCTGTCTGATATTGCACTGATGCTTTTGACATATACTATACCTTATTATATGCATACGTCATGTTAATAGCAATACCGGTCTTTTTAGGAGTAGCGATATTAGTTTACTCAGTGTAAGCCCATTTGCGATGGTGTTAAATTTGACATATAGCTGCCACTTGCACCGCGGACAGAATCTGGCGATTATATGAAGGATTAAACAGAAGCTCTCGTGCTGGATGTGGCAAACAGTTACCTGAAAATTCCATCCCACAGACTTTTCATAGCGGACTTGAAGCTAACGGAAGTCTTTTACTCTTGGAAAAGTGTAAATGGTGGAGTAACATTGACCACATGGTCACTACTAAGATGTGTCATTATTTCTAACTTTAGGTGGTTTCTAAAACAAAATCTGTCAGTGTTATCTTCATTCTCATCTTCAGCGCTTTAGTTTTTCGCGGTAGTAGCTCTCCCTGTCATCCCAAGCCAGAAGGCATCGACTGAGTGATTGACAGCTGATATTTCATTGCCTGCAAAACAAAAAACTCAACCTACAATCTTTTATAGAATCTTCAATCTGTTTGCCAACTTAATAAAATATGTTTTAAACACTCCAGAAGAATGCACAGTAGTCTGCATTGTCCCCTTTATTAACCCTTCTGTCAGTGTTCACATCCTGCCCCTTACTTCAGTGTTCCCTGTCAGAATTGACCGGTTTGTTGTAACCGCTCTTATATTAGCACAAAAACTATTTTTCTCCACCAAATTTTTATTCAACATTCTTTAGCTGTGAACTATGTCTCAAATTAGTGTTAAACATGAGTTTACAGAATTAGACATAAAATAACTGCAATGAAAATAAAAATAGGTGCTGAAAACATATTACAAAATGAACAACAGATGACAGAACTCAAAATACTTTTATTTCATTACTAATAGACAGCTAACTAAAATAACTAACAGGGTCTGACCAAAGAAACTGAACTTTTAATCCATCTGAATGATTCATCATCCAGCAAAGCACAAATAAACACCATCATTTCCTGTGTTCTGAGTGATCGAATGTTCAGTCCTTCAAGTGTACTAACATAGGGAATAGTGACTGAGGGTATATACGGTGAACATGGACACGGAACTAGCACTAGTTATACTTTGGTCACTTTTGAGCGAGATTATATCAGTCTAATATAATATAATAATTGTTGCTAAGCTAAGCTAAAAGTGCTCTTGCTAGACTGGCTGAATGGAGATTGGCAGAAAGAAAGACACACAGATGGGTTCACATAACAGACACCTAGTCTGTTTTATCAGGGAGTTAATTCACGTTGGAGGATGCAGCACTTTCATGGCAATTCATAGCTTATTGGTTTAGTAGCTGATCCATATGAACTTGTATGATCTCATTCATACAGTTTTGTACAATTTGCTTATCCCCAATGACGATTGGGTTTAGGGTTGGGGTTGGGTGATTTTAAAAATCATACAATTTTGTACGACTGAACTCATGAATGAGCCACTAAACTGACAAAACCTAAAATAGTTATGTTTCCTTGTGAGATCAGGCTGGAGAATCAGTCTGAAATGAGTGAGTTGGGGTAGTGTGTGTGGGGATGTTTTCTGTCTGATGAATGAATATAGCCTGGATCCCAATTCATTTCCTAAGGCGGTCACTTTTGACCGGAAACATCAGAGGTGTAACAAGGATGATTAAAACCATTTAATAAAAGATGTGATCATCACTTTTCGAATGCATAGTGTGGAGGATATCATAGGTCCTCAAGGCAATCAGATGTAAAAACAATATAAGTGATTTAAGTTGTAAATCGGTCAGATTTGACCCAAACACTAAAAATAGTTTAATTCATATTTTTTTGAAGCTGCTAGTTGACTAAACAGTGCTGTTTTGAAATGTACAAGTCATTCAGACAGTTATTAAGTAGGGCCAGACAGAATCTGTGGACGTTTTTGTTAAAAATCTGCGGATTTATGCAGATTGATTTTAAGAGGATGATAGCTAAAACCTTTATGTATGAAATAAAAGTAATACCTTTTTAACTTGTCTTGTTTACAATGAAAATCCAATTAGATCCACTTTATTTGGTAAACAAAGCAAGTCTATATAATATCTCTCCTAAAAGACAGAAAATATTACTTTACAAACTGTATTGTAAATACATTATATAAACATTATCATATTAGTCAATAAAATTACTGAAATTTATTTAAAACTGAGTAAATATAAATTTACACAAGTAAATAAACAGAATCACTGATGGGCTAAAAATCAGCAGAATTCTGTGCGTGCAGATTCTGTATGGGCCTAGTTATTAAGTAGAATAAATCTTCACTTTTCTGTTTTATTGATTGTTTTAAATAAGCATAATTTGGCACTCCCAAAACAAACCACTTACTATTTCTCCTGACTGAATACCCGGAATATATCTGAACCTACAGGCAGCCAATCAGCTATCTCAGAACCAGCTGCAGGCAGCCAATCAGCTTTCGCTGGTCAGCGTGCAGGCAAATATCCCGCCCACCACGGCGCTTATTCTGAGGCGGAGATGGGAGAGAGCAGAACTTTGCTGTTTGACGTTTAATGGGTTTAATTCTTCTTCTGTTACGGGTGTTGTTCGTCTGTTCAGAGTAAGTGTATGATATCAGACTATAGTAGCGTTCGCAGACTTGCGGGAATCATCTTGCGGTTTGAACCGCTTTAACATATGTGCTCAATGCTAATATACTCTCTTGTTTTTAGCTCGATGCTACGCTGTAAACACTCTTGTAATGTCTTACTCACGGGTTATCTGGACACCTTTCATTTGTGTCTCCATCTAATTCATTCACTAACAGGTAGTTTAATGCTGATTATATTGAATATTTACTGTTTAACTGAACATATGCTTGTGTAAACTCTTGAAGAGACTCAAACGCTTTATTTAGCAGTAAAACAGAATTTGGGATTAGTATAATAATATAAAACACTTAATTCATTAAAATATTGAGAGATAAATGTAAACAATCAGAGACATGATCACGCTGCACACATGACATGTAGAATCGGCCACTCAAGACTTACACACACATTTATTGAACAGGGGAGAAACACCTATTTGTAGCTTGTGTGAGAATATTTTGATGGTAAAACATATTTTAATAGGATGTATTTTATAAATGATATTAAAGAGTGTTTTAATCCAGGAAATATTTTGAGGAAAATGTTTAGAAAATGTGTTTTCTGGGGGAATTTTACAATATTTATCATTTACCAGACTGAAGGACTTTATAAGACTTTTTATCAGTGTTGTTCTTGTTGTTTGTATGTTTTTAATTCAATTAAGGATGTTAAAGAAACAGTTATGATTGTAAATTATATACTGAATATTTAATATAAGTTTTTCCTTAAATATAGCCAATGTTGCTGAAATGGAGTTTAAATATGTTATTAAATATGAGCAAAACTGATGTGTTAGTAGTTAGAAAAAATGTAAGTGTTTTTAATAATTGCAAATTTGTCCCCTCCTCCTCCAGTGAAGCTCCTCCTCATTCAGTTCAGTTATAAACACCGGAATATTCCCATCAGGCTCAAGTGAAGAGTTTACTGAAGGACAGCGAGAACATGAGTGATCCAGAACCCTGCAGAATTAAACATGAAGATACTGAACAACAAATAGGTTGGTGTTTATTCCTGATTCTTCATTAATAAGCCTGAAGAACAATAATGATGAGAAGCTTAATCTGAGTTATTGAACAAGCACAAAAAATGAAGGACTTTATCTAAAGACATAGAAAAGTAAATGCACGTTCCATTCACAAGGTCACAAATAGGGACTGAAGCTCAGTTGTCTTTTATTCCAATGTTTTGATCAAATGCTCAGTAAAAGGAGATTTGTCAAACATTTAACCCTCTGTCTGGGGTCTGAGGAGACGTGTTGGCATTCCCTGACATTTGTGCTGTTTTCATCTTCTTTTAAATATACTTGTTATATAATATTATATTTCTAAATATAATCGAATGAGGCTAAAGTCTGAATGCATCTTGCATTCAAATATGTTGTTTATATTCACACAGCTTCATTACACAAACTATTTATTATTACTTTATGAAACTTTACATTACTATTGTTATACTTGTCTTTTTTATGTTTGTCACTCAGATAATCAAACTAATTTAAATATTAGTTAAAGAAAGCTCAAGTAAACACACCATGCACTTTTGACATGAAGGTTTACTGCAATACTGCATGACCCTGTGTGAAAAAGAGTTTGCCCCTAAACCTAAAACTGGTTGGGGCACCCTTAGCCACAACAACGGCAATCAAGTGTTTTTGTCTGTTACAGCGCTTTGGACAAAAATTTGGGCCACTCATCTTTGCAAAATTGTTTAATTCAGCCACATTGGAGGGTTTTCCAACGGCTTTTTAAGGTCATGCCACAGCATCTCAGCGAGATTCAAGTCAGGACTTTGACTAGGCCACTCCAAAAATGTTTTTGTTTTTCTTCAGCCATTCAGAAGTACACTTGCTAGTGTGCTTTGGACGATTGTCTTGCCGCAGAACCCAAGTTGGCTTCAGTGGTTTTCTTATTGGAGCCCTGCTAAATTTTTGCCCGGTTTCTTTCCTATGGTGGAGTCATGAACACTCACGTTAACTGAGCCTAGTGAGGCCATGCAGGTCTTTGGTTGTTGTTGTCTTTAATGACCTTGTTGATGCTCTCTTGGTGTACTTTTGGTCAATCAGCGACTCCTAGGAAAGTTCTCAACTGGTCCATGTTTTTGGCATTTGTACATAATAGCCCCTTTCACACATACAGACCTTTCCTAAAAGCCATTGAATATTTTCCAGACGCATTTAGCTACTAGATGTTAGTCGGATTACGTTTCTATGTTTCTTTTTAATGCCAACTGTGTAAACGACTATCGATAAGATGCTTATGTGTGGGTGTGTGTTGGAGCTGCCCAAATAATCGTAAAAAGATTGCGATCTCGATTCAACCACCTAGACCACTGGTGTCAATTCCAGTTCCTGGAGGGCCGCAGCTCTGCACAGTTTAGCTTTAACCTTAAACACACCTGATCAAACTAATTGAGTCCTTCAGGCTTGTTTGAAACCTAACAATCCTGACTTGTGTTGGAGCAGTGTTGGAACTAAACTGTGCAGAGCTGCGGCCCTCCAAGAACTGAAATTGACAGCAGTGGTCTAGACGATCTTAATCCAGCATTTCTACGATTCGGTCAATCATATTTTCAAGTTCAGGAGAGAAGCAATGGTGGCCGCACAAGCCTTCACAATGTTTTACGTATGTTGTGCAGCAACGTAGACACCTCCAAATGGGGTTGAAAGAGTCACATGCTGTATTTATAAGATATAATTCACCCCAAAAATGTAATTTCTGTCTTCATGTAATGTATTTGCGACCGCAAAATCACACGTGATGTGAGCTGACCGTCAGCTGTTACCATAGAGGCCTCTGAATGAAGTTTACTTTAGTGAACAGAACCTGCATAGGTTGTGAATAACGGGTAATAAAGTTGTAAATAACATTGTTTGTGGCACAGAGTGATCGTTTGGGAGCCGTGCAGGAAGTGAACCACTCTTAGCAGTGAAAATAAAACCGAAAGCGCACACAGTGTTGCCAGATGTAGCTGACTGATTCCAGCCCAAAGAGTATCCAAAAGGCTAAAATACCCACCCAGTCTTCTGTATTCATGAAAATCACGCCAGTGACAGATTTTAAGCAGAAAATGACAGACTGTGAGCAAATGTCTCAAACACAATAATTCAACATCAGACTTATCATCAGCATTAATGACAAGGACAAATCTAAAGTCTGTTCAAGTCCACCATTCCAAGTCTATACAAACTTTAGCATTTTAACCAACAGTACAGATATACAAAGCCTATTGCTGTTTTACTACGTTTGAGAAAAACAATAATAATCGCCCACTCATATTAACCTTTATTTTACATGTACAGAATCGTGAGAAATCGTGATCTTTATTTTAGGCAAAAAAAAGGCGGAGAAAAGTCCTACATGACAGTAATAGTTTGATTAAGTTGTTTACATGTCTGTACTGCACTTGATCAATGTAACAAAGCAGCTTACTTCACGTCTTAATTTGATTTCTCTTTAGTTCATTTATGACCTTAATCAGATTATATGAATCAAAAATTGCTGTTTACATGGTCGAGTATTGTCTTAATTACATTTAAATCGAATTATTGGTGTCCATGTTAACTGACTCACTGTATACACACACTCTCTCTCATACTCACACTATACTCCATGTACAATGTAAAAATGGAGCTTTTTTGCACTGTAACTGATGATCAACAGAATTCAAATCAAAATTACAGCTTGTGTCGCAAATGATTTTACCTTTTGACTTCAGCTTTTAATGACAGTTTTATAGACTTAATAAAAAGCTGATTTTAAAATTTTATTTCAGACCTAATTGAAGAAAATGTGGCGAGTAAAGAGGAGGAACATCATGTCAAAATTGAGGAAAAAAATCATTTACAGACTTACAGTATTTTGAAACCAAGAGACAGGACTCATTTCATCTGCACTCAGTGTGGAACGAGTTGTGAAGGAAAAGGCAATCTTAAGATTCACATGAGGATCCACACTGGAGAGAAACCATTCACCTGCACTCAGTGTGGGAAGAGCTTTGGCCGATCATCCAACCTTAATCAACACATGAGGAGCCACACTGGGGAGAAACCATTCACATGCACTCTGTGTGGGAAGAGTTTCAGCCATTCATCAAACCTCAACAAACACATGAAGATCCACCCTGAAGAGAAACCATTCAGATGCACTCAGTGTGGGAAGAGCTTCAGCCAATTATCAAACCTTAATAAACACACAAAGGTTCACACTGGAGAGAAACCGTTCACATGCACTCTGTGTGGGAAGAGCTTCATCTTCTCATCAAACCTTAATAAACACATGAAGACCCACACTGGAGAGAACCCACTGACATGCACTCAGTGTGGGAAGAGCTTCAGCCAATCATCAAACCTTAATAAACACATGAAGATCCACACTGGAGAGAAACCATACGCATGCACTGAGTGTGGGAAGAGTTTCATCTTCTTATCAAACCTTAATATACACATGAAGGTCCACTCTGGAGAGAAACCATTCACGTGTTCTCAGTGTGGGAAGAGTTTTAGTCGATCATCCAACCTTAATCAACACATGAAGATCCACACTGAAGAGAGACCATTCACATGCACTCAGTGTGGGAAGTGTTTCAGCCATTCATCATCCGTTAATCGACACATGAGGATCCACACTGGAGTAGGCATGGGATGATAACCAGGGCTTGACATTAACTTTTTTTTTTTTTTGATCACCAGCCACTGTGGCTAGTAGGCACCTATTACTAGGCACTCGCCATTTTCACTAGCCACAATTTTATTGTTGGGAAAAATATTTAATACGCATAAATATGACTTTGACATGCTAAAATTACTTGATTTAGATTTTGTGTTATGTGCACATGCCTCCTCATGTGTTGTGTATGAGCAAATGGGTTTCATAGTGTTGTATTACAATGTTTTTACTTCACAAGACTTTACGGAGCTCAAATTAAGGATTCACCAAATTTTTCTCTGACCACACCAAACATAAATAATTATTTCCTATCCACAAATTTTAAATGTGTCAAAACAAGCAAAATATACTGTATACAGGGTGGATCTACTGTAAAATATATTCTGTATACTATACTTTTTATTGAACAAAACATTACATAAATAAACAATTGACATTTAAAATAGTATCTAAACTATGCACTGCAATCTGTCCTGGCTAAAGGTCCCAGATCAGTTATCGACACCTAAATGGGGAGCTAATCTCATATTAGAGCAATGTTATTTTGAAAGATGATAGTGAAACCGTATGAACAAAAATAAGCAAAAGGAAGCAGGTGAAAAAGATTAAGTGTGTGATAATGAAAGGATGATCACATATAAGGTTAACGCTAGGCCTATTAATAATCTGCTCAACGACTGGTTAAAGTGAAAGCAGTCGGTGCTGCACACCAAAAGACAAATCTGGAGCTCTTGAAAGCAGCAAGACTGTGGGTGCATGAGCATCACTTTTTGTCTAGTCTACTTGAAAGAGAACCAATCGCATCAGTTGCGTTTCCAGGCACAGTTGCTTCACGCAAGGAAACGGGAGCGCGCACATGTTTTAAACGAGTAATGTTCCTCTCATTAGGTATGAACCTGCTCGCGCAAACACAATTACTTTTGTCAGTCGTGCTGCTTCTCCATTCTAAGATCGTATTTGCATGCATATTTGGTCGTCTTTATTGTCGAACCCTTCAGTTAAGAAAACTACAATTTAAAGGTATGTTTGAATCAGACAAAGTGGCTAGTGGTAGTGGCTGTCTAACCCGCCACAGGGGAAATCTACTTGCATTTGGCGGGTTGGCGGGTGTTAATGTCAAGCCCTGCTGATAACCATTTTTTTAGGTATACTGCGGTTTGTAAAAGTCAAATTTTTAAACCTGCCAAAATATTCTGCTATACTGGTCCTGTGGTGTATGACAGATTTATTGTGATTTTTTTTGTTTTTTAGTACAACAGTTTCTTCAGCAGAAAAGATATCTAAAATGCTGTTTTAAACTGTAAATAAATCTGTGTTTCTGAAATTAATGAAGACAGCCGAAGTCAATGATTCATTGGAATTATTCAGCCTGACATGTTTACTGCTCCACAATATTTTAAATGTTTCTCAAAATAAAATATTTTGTGTTCAAAGGGGGAAAAGTGTTAGTTTATTACCCAGACATTTAAAAAGAGCAAATATTAGAGCAGTAATCACAATACAGTCAAACCATGATGTTTTTATCCAAAGTTATCATATCGTCAGAGTCTTATGTTTGAGCCCATGCCTACACTAGAGAGAGCATTCACATGTTCTCAGTGTGGGAAGAGTTTCAGCAATCAACACGCCATCATACACACATGAAGAGTAGGGCTGGGCGATATGGCAAAAATGCAAACTCAATTTTTTTTTTCATATTGACCAATACATCGATAAATTTCGACATAAGTTGTTAATGCTTCCAGCTTTGAAAGTTATCCCAACAATGACTGATTCAACAAAAATTAGACAGTTGATTAAATCACAATTTAAAATATTGTTACACATTTGGCCTTAAATTAAAAGAAATAGAAAAATACATTTAAAAAGACTAATCTGTTTAAGGTCTGGCATTACGAGGTGAATTGGAATATGCTGGTTGTGTTGCCAGACAAATCAATCGCTCCAGGGCAAATACGCATTTTTAATGCTCTGCTGTATCGCAAACCTCTATCAACATTTTTAATACAAGTTATTATTTTAAAGATTAACGATCTTGATGCAAAGCATTAAGGGCGTGTCCGAATCCATTTTTGCTACTTTTAGGATGGAAAAATACGCTCTGCGCCGGGACGCATGGTCTAACAGGGTTGTGCTTATCCTCGTAATGAGTTATGGATGTGTTTTGAAAATAAACCAATCGGAGTCTCATCTCCCATTCCCTTAAAGCAGGGGTCACCAATCCTGGTCCTGGAGGGCCTTGTCCCTGCAGGGTTTAGCTCTAACTTGCCTTAACACACCTGCCTGGATGTTTCAAGTATACATTGAGAGCTTGATTAGCTTGTTCAGGTGTGTTTGATTAGGGTTGGAGCTAAAATCTGCAGGACACCGGCCCTCCAGGACCGAGATTGGTGACCCCTGCCTTAAAGGGTCAGTTGCATCGCCATGGCACATTTGCTATTTACATGCTGGACTTTGGAAGTGGAAAAACTGAAGCTTCAATAACAAGAAAACAGTTAAACAGAGCATCTGCAGCGTGAGGATAAAGAACGAGCAAAATGTGGCGCAAATGGATTTACTATTTAAACAACGTGGCGCATAACAGGAAAATTACTGTTGCGCTGGTCTGAAAATAGCAACACATCACACCAAACACATCTTGCGCCTTACTGCGCTGGTGTATTATAGGCCCCTATGACTTGAGAATCTGATTTTCTAGAATCTGACAGTCATTCTAGCTGCCAACGTATTTCTGTGGTCGCTCATACACTGCGTATTATGGTAGAGCGTTAAAAACTTAATACTGTTCATGTTTGAACGGTTCATGTTCAAACTAATGCATGTTTTTTATGATAGATCAGCGTCTCACTGACTGATGATAAAATATTAAATAACGAAAAACAAGAAATGAATGCAAATAAATAATCAGAATTTCAAGATTGCTTTATCCGTAATTACAAAATAAAAGCCATTAAAATCTTATGTCTTAAATCTTAAATCAGCTACACCTTAGATTGTAGACATTCTCACGGTGTCCACTAAACCTTTTTCATGGACATCTGATGTGACATTCTAAAACAAAAGCTCTTTAAACCTTTGATTTGGCCTTGATTAAAAAAAAAAAAAAAGATTAAAATAAAACTTAGATATTACAGGCCAGTTTTACCTCAGATTGATAGTGGGCATTACCACGGTGTCAACTAAACTCTTCTCATGGGTATATGTTACCCTCCTTATTTATGTTTCTTACTTTATCAGTTCATATTTTCTGAGTGTATCTCACAAAACCAGGATAAAGGGATTAAGATGCAAATTTCACGCTATCCTGACTGAAATATAACATTAGCCCTGACTCGGTCACATGAAAGCAAGTTAAAAATTAAGCTAATGCTAAGCTAAATTAAGTTACTACATTCTAAAACGCTTAACGCAGTTAAAACATTTTTAAGAAAATATAAAGTCAACCCGAAACACTTCATAACAGGTGCACTACCAAAACAAACCACTTACTATTTCTCCTGACTGAACACCCGCAATTCCTCTGAACCTACAGACTTTCAGCTTTCTCAGAACCTGCTACAGGCAGCCAATCAGCTTTCGCAGATCAACGCGCAGGCAAACATCCCGCCCACAGCGCTTATTGTGAGGCGGAGATCGGAGAGAGCAGAACTTTGCTGTTTGACGTTTAATGTGCTTATTTCCTCTTCTGTTACGGGTGTTGTTCGTCTGTTCAGAGTAAGTGTATGATATCTGACCATAGTAGCGTTCGCAGACTTGCGGGAATTATCTTGCGGTTTGAACCGCTTTAACATATGTGCTCAATGCTAATATACTCTCTTGTTTTTAGCTCGATGCTACGCTGTAAACACTCTTGTAATGTCTTACTCACGGGTTATCTGGACACCTTTCATTTGTGTCTCCATCTAATTCATTCACTAAGAGGTAGTTTTATGCTGATTATATTGAATATTGACTGTTTAACTGAACATATGCTTGTGTAAACTCTTGAAGAGACGCAAACGCTTTATTTTGCAGTAAAACAGAATTTGGGATCAGTATATTAATATAAAACACTTAATTCATTAAAATATTGAGAGATAAATGTAAACAATCAGAGACATGATCACGCTGCACACATGACATGTAGAATCGGCCACTCAAGACTTACACACACATTTATTGAACAGGGGAGAAACACCTATTTGTAGCTTGTGTGAGAATATTTTGGTGATAAAACATATTTTAATAGGATGTATTTTTAAAATGATATTAGAGAGTGTTTTAATTCAGGAAATATTTTGAGGAAAATGTTTAGAAAATGTGTTTTCTGGAGGAATTTGACAATATTTATCATTGATAAGACTGAAATACTTAAATACTTTTTATCAGTGTTGTTGTATTTTGTATGTTTTTAATACAATTAATGATGTTTCAGAAACGGTTATGATTGTTAATTATATACTGAATATTTAATGCAAATGTTTCTGTTATAAATGCAGGAATATTCCCATCAGACTCAAGTGAAGAGTTTACTGAAGGACAGCGAGAACATGAGTGATCCAGAACCCTGCAGAATTAAACCTGAAGATACTGAACAACAAATAGGTTGGTGTTTACTCCTGATTTTTCATTAATAAGCCTGAAGAACAATAATGATGAAAAGCTTTGAACAGTTGATCTGATTCATTGAACAAGCACAAGAATCAAATTATTTTGTACTTTCTGTTGACAAGGTAAAAAAAAAAAATAGAGACTGAAGCTCAGTTTTCTTTTATTCTCATGTTTTGATCAATAATAATTTTAACCATGATAATCATAAACCATATTCAATCATGAGTTATATGTAAGCACTCCTCTCTTTGAGAAACAGATTAAACTCATTCTGGCTAGTAGCATTTTACCTTTCTCTGCTACTAGCATTACAGCATCTCTGTGGCCGCCGCCCTTCGTAAAGATAAACACGAGTGCGAGAATGGGCATCATTGTATCTGCGCTCTTGGTCAGTTTGTGGGTTGTTTTAGGCAAGTTTATGACTTGCCTAATTACACTAAGCCTTTGAATGTCAATTTAAGCTGAATACTAGTATCTTGAAAAATATCTAGTAAAATATAGTGTGCTGTCATCATAGCAAAGATAAAAGAAATCAGTTATTAGAAATGAGTTATTAAATCTGTTGTTTAAACTGTGCTTTAAGCATCTTCACTGTGTTTTTGATTTTATTATTGATTAATAATAAAAACAGTCGGCAGCAGCAGGAATATTGCACGCTGTCACTTTAAGAATAGTGCGGCTCTGATATGGTTTCTCTTTCTCGTGTCTTTTGATTCTCAACTTGTTTGTTTATTACACAAATGAAATGAGGGTTAATATGAATAATCACTAAACACCGCGCTCTGACACAAATGTGCATGTATTTGACCATTAAAGCGCTCGAATTAAGATGGCGTTAGATGTGTGTGTGCTCTGCTGTTCAAGGCTAAACGCGGCGCACGCGCAAACACACACACGATACCTGTCCAAGGCTAAGTGCGGTGCAAACACACAACAGCACATGCTTTTAGTCACTTTCACGTGGAACTGAGCTTTGCCGAACACCACATGAGTCTACAAAAAAAAATTCCCCTTGAGGGACAGTAAAGTATACAAACAAACAAACAAACAACACGTGTACAACTGGAAAGGGGGCGGTATGTGATGGAATAATCGTTTTATCTCGACTAATGCTTTTTCATAATCGTTAGACGCCGAAATCGGATTTTCGAATAATTGCACAGCCCTAGCTAACAGCCACATCTATAATGGATAACCACAGTCTCCTGATATGCAGTTAAATAATTACGCTCAATAAAATTAAAATTAAAAACCTTTTCTGGATTAATATCTTTAAATACATCACTCACCAAGAAGCCACCCATCCCCAACCTGCCACCTTGGAGCCTCCTCGCTGTCTATCATTCCAAATTTGGACCCGACTCAGCACAGAACTGAGGATAGCTCCTGAAAATCTGAAACCGCTAATAAGCCAGTCATCATCGTGGGCCAGAAAATTACTGTGATCTCAAACAAATGCGTTCCCTTCGGATTCGACCATTGACGATGTCCTCTTATAAGGCCAACACTGCCATTGCCATAGACTAAGGGTTGTTTAAATTTGCAAATGCTTTTATATGTACTAAAATCACGTTATAACTGGTAAAAAAAATATTGTGCCAATTATTATAAATTATTAGCAATGTTTTTCACGTGTTGGTGCGATACTTTGTTGCGTGCAATTTAACATACATTGGAGTCGCCAATGGAAATAAAACAAACACAAGAAATGCACGTACGCCAGACATGAAGTTGGCGCGGACCAACGCACATACTCATGTTAATTTCGTCGTTAGTAAATCCAAACGTAAGCGTGAAACCTGGCGTACGCAAAGTTTCTGTGCGTACGCATCGTTGATACATGAGGTTATTACTGAGGTCAAACTGTTCCTGATGTTTACTAATTAAAATATAGGGTTAAATTGTGTTAAAAGCAAAGGAAAAGTCGACAAACAAAAGTCTGGCATGGGAACCATTTTTTCCAAATGTTTAAAAAGTAGGTTAAACAAAGTTACTTTTCAGCCTCTACTCACGGATGTGGCCTGTAGGCAAACTGCATGGGATCAAGTGCGTACTCCTGTTCTTCTGAGTATTTCAGACCTTACAAACTTTTCCAAAATTTTCATCCCAATTGATGTTAAGGCTATGGGTCTGAATTTATTAAAAGTTTAGGGGGAGTTGGATTTGGCAACAAGGACCATCACAGCATCCTTCCAAACCTTAGGTACCTAGGGCCTCATGTACGAAGACTTGTGTGGAAATTATACTAAAACATTGCGTACGCAGAAAAAAATGCAGATGTATGAAACACTGCGTACGCCGAATCCCACGCATATTCTTTTGTACATCCGAATGAACGTGAAACTGAGCGCAACATGCACGAGCGCAAAACCCCTCCCTGTCTCCTCCCCCTTATGAATATGCTAATGACTCTACTTTGGCAAAACCAAACGAAAATGCAACGGCAAAAGCAAGCAAGAAGAGAAACTTTGAACAGAATGTGAATTGGAGGTGCTGCTTTCGGAGGTAGACCGGAGAAAAACGGTGTTATTTGCAAGTTTGTTCTCCGGAATTAACAACAAAAGAAAAAAATAGAGTGGGAAAGTTTAACTGATGCGGTTAACACAGTTGGGTCTGAACATCGCACTGTGTAGTTAAAAGAGAAATAGTGTGATTTATATGTGTAAAATGTTATAGCATTCTCATCAGTCTCAGTGGCGCACCTCGTAAAACGCATGTTAACATGTTTTGACACGTTAACTCGGTTCGAATCCAGCGTCTGAGAACTCATTTTTCTTTTTTTCCCCCGCTACATATCAGATTCTGCCAACTATTTATCACGAGAAAGACAAGTAGGAATCATTAATAAGTCTGTGCATCATATTTTATTTGCACATTTATTGAATGGAAATGTTTCTGATTCACGCATGCAAATTCATCTTCAGATAGTGTCTTTATAGCAATGTGCGTGCAGTAGATAGCTCAGATTACATTGGGAAAACAGGCAACCGCTGCAAATTGTGCTTTAATGTTTGGCTGGTCAACTGTATTGTATAGAAACCTTATATACCTGCTGAACCCGTCTCATACAGCTGCCACTGCAAGGCTCAGACACTTTGTAGAGTGCAATTTAACACAACTGCCTCTAGGAGTCGCCAATGGAAATAAAACAGACACGCACAAAAAATGTGCGTAAGTGAAGCTGCGCACATTCCCACGTTCAGTTCATCGTTAGTAAATCCAAACGTGAGCGATTCTGAGCGTGAAACCTGGCGTACGCAAAGTTTTTGTGCGTATGCAGCGTTGATACATGAGGCCCCTGATGTTCAAGTAACGATTTATTAAAAATGTAATCAAAAAACTGGACTTCATTCTCTTGTACAGATTTTAAGTATGTGACCACAAATATTGTCTGGTCCACTGCTCTTGTTCACTCTTACTGAGAGGAAGGCTTTATGTACATCTGACTGTTGTAGGCTAAAATGCTGTCCACCTGTAAGTTTACTATTTATTCTTCAATTTCCCTAGTGAAATGTAAATTATTGAAAGGATTATAAAATTGTTTAAGACCATTGGCTAACTCTAAATCAGTGCTGTAGCCTGCTAAATTAATCTGGTTGTGACTCTTTAGATTATGGAGGCCTGTTATGGTTTTCAAACTATCCCAGGCTGAACCAAGCAGGGCTCGAAATTTAATCTTTTTGCTTGGTAGCACTGGTGCTCCCAACTTCAAATAGTTAGGAGCACCAGCCAATTATAAGCACCTTTACTACAAGATTTAATGTTATATAATCCTATTTACTGCATTTGAAATCAACACTAAACAATCTAACAAATAAACAAAACGACATCCGCATGCACCCACCGGCCATGCACACACTGCTTGACATGAATGAAACTTGGTTAACGATAATAACTTTGCTGTTCTCACGGGTGCTGTGTAATATTGCACAGATAATGCTGACATAATAGCTTATTATTTGCATGCGCCATCTTAAAATCAATACCGTTTTTAATGAGCTGCAATATTAGTTTTATCTTAATGAATGCAAGCTCTTTTGCGATGGTACGTGGTGTTACGTTTCACATATAGCTGCCACCTGCACAGCTGACGGCATCCTGACGATTAAATGAAGAATTAAACAGAACCTCTCGCGCTTAAAGAGCCCATATTATACATGAAATAGGGTCATATCTTGGTTGTAAGGGTCTCCAACAACAGTCTAATATGCATGCAAGGTCAAAAAACACTTTCATCGTCTTATAATCTGCATTTATTTTTACCTAATTATCCCAGCAACTCCCGTATGAATCGTCCAGTGATTCATTTGTTCCCAAACCCCTCCTTAGCGCGAAGCTAATCTGCGCTGATTGGACCAATGACAGTCTGTTGCGATTGGTCGACTGCCTTCAGTCAGAGAGTGAAATGCCAAACAGCTAATCAGCGAAAAAAGTAATCACAGTTCATACACGCTCGATAGTGTAGGCGTGGAGTTTAGCTGCCAGTGGGTCAATGTAAATACAGACTATGGACTTGAAAATTCAGACGACTGACTATTTTATTGAGCAAAAACTCCAAAAACAGTTGAGGAGATCTCCTAGCTTGTCTCACTCTGCTCTTTTCACAGAAACACACACACATATTGCACACACACACACACGCACGCACGCACGCACGCACTTTTAACCCTGCTCCGGACGACAACGCGCGCGCACACACACACACACACACACACACACACACACACAAACACACACACCTCCAGACGACAGCGCGCGCACACGCACACACAGACACACACACTACTCCTCCTCCACGGAGCTCCGTTAACAAAGCAGTATGCGTCGCGTTTTTAACGTGACTTTGCACGCGATAAGAGAATATAGCCAGTTAACCTGATACAGTACACGCGGTTACAAGTAACAAATCACAACTAAATACATTTGCAAGCTAGAGTCAACGAGGCAACTTTAATCGCACGTACTTACACTTGAGAAATGGAGGAAGAAACCCATCCTGACGTCCATCAGTAAGTTACTCTTTACTGATCCTTCCTTTAACAAACGCTGATGAAGTATTCTTTGTAGCATGTAGTTTCCAGAAGTTTCCAGTAGTTTCCAACTGCTTGGCTGTAATGCTGAGGTTTCATCTTTGGGTAGAGACTCAATATATCCATCTGCAGTGTGACTTCAATCGACCGGCATGTTTGTGTGCGTGTGTTTGTGGGTGTGTGTGTGTCTGGGTTTCTGCGTCAGAGGGCGGGGCCTCAGGTTTGAAACCTCCCGGGTTTGCACGTGCACGTGAATAACTTGGTTTCGTTCGTACGTCATGGCGAAACACCTAATGAATCGGTATCAAGGCGACTCATTTGAAGCACTATGAGTCGACTCTTTTATAGATGAATCAACAGTTTTAAACACTGTATTCTTACAGATTTAAGCCTTAGCTGGATACTTAACTTCACTTAGAGCTGTGTTACACACTACATGGAGGGGAATTTTCAAAAACCCATAATATGGGCTCTTTAAAGTCTGTAGAGTTGGCGAACGCTGTTACCTGCAAACTCTTTACGGTGAGTTTACGGGGAATACCGTAAACTTTACGTTTACGAATGCTTTAGTCATTTTCATAGCGGACTTTAAACACTGGAAGACTTTTATCGACTTTTCGACAAGTGTAAATGCTGGATTAACATTCAGCACATGATCAATGATCAGATGTGCTATTATTTGAAACTTTTATTTTTTTCTAAAAATAAATCTGTCCGTGTTGATTTCATTCTCTCATCTTCAGTGCTTTACATGTTCTCGGTTGTAGCTCTCCCTGCTAAAGAAAGGCATCGACTGAGTGATTGACAGCTGATATTAACCAAACCGTTCGCATTCAGTGCTAGAACAGTGGACCAATCAAAAGAGCTTGAAGGTGCGCTTTGTTTACTGCAGCAAAATGACATGACAACTGTTTTAAATTATTCATGAGCGCTGCATTTGGTGCCTAAGATGTAGAGATCTGAGCGGGACTAAATTTTGAATCCCCCTCCCGCCCGCACCCGCCAGGTTTTAGCCCGAACCCGACCGCTTCCACTTATAATCAGCATTTGTTGTCCCGTTGCCCGACCCGCCCCGTTTTCTACCCGCCATGCCCGATCCAGCTAAAGAGCAGGGGGAGAACAAAACAGAAATCCACCCAGCTATACAGAGTCCAGACAGCCTATAACAAGCTGTCTGTATAAGCACAATCACACACACACACACACATAAGTACCAAGCACACACACACAGAAAAAGCTCTCTCATTCACACACACACACACACACACACACACACACACACAGCAACAAACAAGCTAAATACAGCATCGCGCTATTTTATTTACACGCATGCATACGCATACTCGCTCAGGAGTCGGGAGCGATATTGCTAGAAGACCCGCTTCCGTCCCACATTAAACCCGTTATCGACCGCTCCCGCGCTTTATTCGGAAATTTATTCCCACGCCGTAGAAATCTGGTCGGCTCCCGCAGGAATGCAGACCTCTATAAGATGCCTTCTGCGTGAATGTGTCCTAAACTTGCGTGTGGTGAACGTTTTGCAGTAAAAACCGGTCACACGGCACCAATTTTATCCAGTCGCATAAATGCTCCCAAATATATTTTGTGGTCGCATAGATGAAATTTTGTGCGCATATGCGACCAAAACGGTCGCAATTTCGAACCCTGCCAAGCTTATCTGTAGCCATCTTGTTTTCTAATTCAGTTTAGTTTTGTTAAGCTAGGAGACCGTCTCTTTTAAGCTCTTTATTTGCCAGATACAGATCAGAATTGGCTCCTTGTTTAAAACACAATTTCTTTTTCTTTTTGCAGGATTTGACTGATTTTGTTACCCACAGTTTGTTGTTAGAGTACATTTTTACCCGCCTACATGGAATATCCATGTCTCTGGGCAAATTGAGTACCCTTTTCACTTCAGCTTTTGATAAGAGTTGTTTTTTTTTTAACCTGTTGTTTTTTATTTCAGACGTAATTGAAAAAAATGTGGCGAATAAAGAGGAGGAACATCATGTCAAAGTTGAGGAAAAAACTCATTTACAGACTTGCGGTATTTTGAAAACAAGAGACAAGAAACATTTCACCTGCACTCAGTGTGGGAAGAGTTGTAGAGGCAAAGATGATCTTAAGATTCACACAAGGATCCACACTGGAGAGAAACCATTCACCTGCACTCAGTGTGGGAAGAGCTTCAGCGTCTTGTCAAACCTTAATAAACACAAGAGGATCCACACCGAAGAGAAACCATTCACATGTTCTCAGTGTGGGAAGAGCTTTAGCCAATTATCAAACCTTAATCGACACATGAGGATGCACACTGAAGAGAAACCATTCACCTGCTCTCAGTGTGGGAAGAGCTTCAGCCAATCATCAAACCTTAGTCAACACATGATGATTCACACTGGAGAGAAACCATTTAGATGCACTCAATGTGGAAAGAGTTTCGGCCAATCATCAATCCTTAATAGACACATAAAGATACACACTGGAGAGAAACCATTCACATGCACTCAGTGTGGGAAGAGTTTCATTTGCTTATCAAGTCTTAATAAACACATGAAGATCCACACCGGAGAGAGACCATTCACATGCACTCAGTGTGGGAAGAGTTTCTGCCAGTTATCACAACTTACTCAACACATAAGGATGCACAGTGGTGAGAAACCATTCACATGCACTCACTGTGGGAAGAGTTTCATCTTCCCATCAAGCTTGACTCAACACATGAGGACGCACACTGGTGAGAAACCATTCACATGCACTCAGTGTTGGAAGAGCTTCAGCGTCTCGTCAAACCTTTATCAACACATGAAGGTCCACACTGGAGAGAAACCATTCACATGCACTCACTGTGGGACGAGTTTCATCCAGTTATCACAACTTAATCAACACATGAAGATCCACACCGGAGAGAGACCATTCACATGCACTCAGTGTGGGAAGAGTTACAGCCGATCATTCAATCTTAATAAACACATGAGGCTCCACACTGGAGAGAAACCATTCACCTGCACTCAGTAGTCACGTTTCCACTATCGCGCCTGAAGCGAGCAAGCCAGGGCCAGTCGTGTTTCCACTGTTTGGCCTGATCAGGCCAAAGTGGGGCTTTCTCTGGGCCAGCAACCGGCCTTTTTCGGCCTGCCGAATACCTTGGGCCAAAGAGGGCCAGCTGGGGCTTTGAGGCAGAGTGAAAGGAGAGGCGGAGTTTGCCTGAGTCTGGTAAAGTTGGCACCCCATCATTACACTAGTTTTCCGATCGCACTTGAGTACATGCGCCAAACAAACAAATAAATTAGTGGGCTAAGGGAAAGAAAACAGCTGGCTACACTATATAGCACACTATAGGCTATGTTTTTTGTTGTTATGATCGCCCTTGTGTTTCCCTTTTAAATGTAAGGCTGTTGCAGAAAATAATAAAGTTTTAATTTATAAGTGACTTTTCTTTGCTGCGTCCTCTGTTTTAATAACGCATAATAATCTTTACACCACATTAAAGACACAGCCGCCAGTAATTTTCTGTTGGCGAGAGTTTTTGTCAAGTTTAAAAAGTGTTTGTGCATGAAACGTGCGCGTTTAGATGCCTGTAAGTGTGTGAGAGAGACGGGCCAAAAGAGCGCTCGCTTGACGGCTCTGTTGATGCCACGAGTGGCTTCTTCCTTTATTTTGGAGATAATACAAAATATGAATACAACAGAAAGACATAAAACTTTACAAATCACTTGTCCGCTTTTGTAGGCTCAAAACAATAGTGTCATATGTCGATAAAATGGCCTAAGCTATTTTGAAATAATTTAGGGTGCTTTCACACCTTTGAATCGATTCAGTTGTTCTAAAACAGAAGTTACAATTGTTACATTGTTGCTCTTTGTTCTTGGAGCGGTTCGCTTTCACACTGCAAAGTTTCTAAACAGACCAAAAGAGCTAAAACAAGTCACGTGTGAGTAAACTCTCCTCACATTGGTCAGTTCAGGGTTTATTTTGCAGAGTCCCGCTCAGCTGTCAGGAGAGGTGGTGGTTTGGTGGTGTTTGACAAGGTGCGCGCAATGTGTCTGAAGAGCAAGGAAGGATGCGGTGGGGAGGGGTGTGAAGGGTGCGCGACGTAGCCTATTTGAGGACCGGGACGGAGACGCGTTTGCGGGCATCCAGGTGACTCGCGAAACTTCCCGCCCTACTCATAATTCTCTCTTCATATAGCCGTATGCCTATTACATATCCATAAAACACTGTAATTTAACCGCGCTCAGATCGTATCGCTTTCTCACTGCAATTGATCCGCTCCAGAGTTCGTTTCAATCGATCCGAGACCACCTCATTCAAGCGATCTCGGAGCGATTGATTTGGCGCGGATCCGAGAGCAATTGCTGGTTTCACATATGCCAAATGAACCGCACTAACTGGGCAAACAAGACAGGTTCCGAAACAAAAGTGTAGGTGTGAAAGCACCCTTTAAGAATTAGTTAAGATATAATAGAATTACAATAAATAAATAAACCAATGTAAAACTAACGAAAGCTAGCTAGAACAATGTAGGTACATAAAATGCATAAATCAAATCGTTTTAAAGCCATATTAAACTTTCAGTTTACAAAGGCCTCTCTGAAAAACATTTTAGATATTTTTTAAAAACAATGAACACTGGAGCAGGTTTAAAATATGATTTATAAAGTATTTGGATATGATGATATTGATTAAATAGTGCAAACAGAGCATTATTGAGTGAGTGAAAGCAGAAACTAGGCTACCTTCTTTTCTGTCACGCAGTCCTGCGCCGCGCCGCTTGACATCAGGGAAAACTGCAAATACAAAATGTGTTGTGTGTCCTCAAACAAGTGTTTTTATTGTTTATATGACGTGGTAAAATTTTAAAATGAAATGTTAAACGTCGAGCTTTATTAGAGAAAAGCTGCTGAGCGCAACGAAATATAGACTATATTTAATCACTTGCTCTTATTTCCTGAAACACTGAACACTTTACTTAAGATCACAGAATAATATGCAACATCCTCAAATAAAGGGGAATCACCTATCAAGTGTCATATAGCCTAGGGGAAAAAATAATATGTTTTAGGTCTCTCCAGAGCATTTGGGCTGAATGTTTGATGACGTCTATCAAAACGAGGATGTTATATAATACATTTCATAACGAGTTATTAGCAGAGAATTTCTGTGGTTCATATTATAGATGGGTGCGCTCCCTGTGCTGGGTCCCTCCGTTAGTGGCGAGACTCGATGCACGATGCCAACAGTCGCTCGGCGAGTAAACAAATATTATGAATGAGAACACACAGGCCTGTGCCTATAGACATATAATGTAATGCTGTACAATAACGTGTCATTTGTTTACATAAAATAGGCTACGGCATAGTTTCTACAGCAAATTCGACAAAACAAAAATGCAGGAAACCTTAACTCAATGTTCAGTGGAAATGTTTAATTTAAGGTTCCCACTTTTACACGTCGATCAGTTTAAGATGAAATTTGTCAAATTAAGTTTGTAATAGATTTAAAAGTGCACTTGTGTGTCTGCCTTTTTTATTGATTGAGTGGTAGATGTTGATATGACATTTAGGGTGCTTTCACACCTGTGAATCCATTCAGTTGTTCCGAAACAGAGATTACAATTGTTACATTGTTGCTCTTTGCTCTTGGAGCGGTTCGCTTTCACACTGCAAAGTTTCTAATCGGACCAAAAGACCTAAAACAAGTCACGTGCGAGTAAACTCTCCTCACATTGGTCAGAGTGTCAGGGTTTATTTTGCAGCGTCCCGCTACGCTGTCAGGAGAGGTGGTGATTGACAAGGTGCGCGCGCAACGTGTCTGAGGAGAGATGCGGTAGGGAGGGGTGAGAAGGGTGCGCGACAATGCCTATTTGAGGACCGGGAGGGAGAGATGCGAGATTACCAGGAGATCATCACTCGTTTGCGGGCATCCGGAGACTCGCAAAACTTCCCGCCCTACTCATAAATCTCTCTTCATGTAGCCGTATGCCTATTACATATCCATAAAACACAGTGATATAACCGCGCTCGGATCGGATCGCTTTCTCACTGCAATCGAACCGCTCCAGGGTTCGTTTCAATCGAGCCGAGACTACCTTATTCAAGCGATCTCGGAGCGATTACTTTGGCGCGGAACAGAGCGCGATTGCCCTGTTCACATATGCCAAACGAACCGCGCTAACTGGGCAAACGAGACACGTTCCGAAACAAAAGTGTAGGTGTGAAAGCACCCTTAAAATGTAAGCAGAACTAAATGATAGTTTTTAGAACGAGTAATAATCCCATTAATCTAGGTACAGTACATATTCCTGTCGAAGGTCAGTGAATTTAAGCTAATTATTTATTAAAAAAGGACAAGCTATTCTCGTACGTGACTTTGTTCTTTGTGTGACTGAAATGTAGGCAATATGTCTCCATCCAAGAATGTGAATTAAATTTATGCGCTAAACAAGAAAATCGAATTTAAAAGACTTGCGAATAAAGCAGCGTTTCCATCCAGTGAGTCAAAGAGAACAAAACCGTTACTTCCTGATTAACTGGCATCAAAAATCAACAGTAAAACAGAATTTACTGCGGTAGGAGAAGCCGCAACAATCTTTTCTTTATTTAATAAATGACTTTCACCTCAGAAGACGATGCTGACGTGCTATGAACGCGTGGTGGCGTTTGAAGGCATGAGATGCAGAGAACAGACGCTCTCGATTCTGGAGGTAATCAATAATATAATAACACTAATACTGAAATGGTTATGGCGTTTTAGAATGACCAAAACGACACTTCAGATGTTTTAAAATGTCCTCAGTCTGCTGGGCCGCGTTTTAGAAAGGAGGTTAAGTGAAAACTCAGAATATGTTAACCCTGAAATGAGAGAAACTCTGGGTTTGGCAGGTTTGTTAAACTGGAGAAAGCAGGGTAAATCTAGCCTGTTTCTGAAAGAGAGGTAACTTTAACTCAGTCAGTTACTGTGGTAACTTACTCTGTGAACCTAACCTGGTCAGCAGCAGGTTTTATACTCTAAACTCAGAATTTCTGTTTGTCTCCTCCCGTCTTTAAAGATGAAACGGTATTTCTTGCCTTAAGGCTGATTTATACTTCTGCGTCAAGCGCACACGTATGCTACGGCGCAGCCTACGCGCTGACACAGCCCTACGCTGTGGCCATCGGCGTCACTGACGTGAACCTCTCAAAAAATGTAACGACACGTCGCACCGACGCGTATCGCAAACTCTGCGATTGGTCGGCTTTGTATCGCTGACGAGTCTGGGCGGCACCGAGAGCCGCGCGAGCCCGATGTAGCGATTGTTTACAAGTGTGGAGTCCCGCGAAGGAGCTCCGGATGTAAAGGTTTGTTTCGTGTTTACCTGATAGTTAAAGTTGTTGTATGTCCGCCGGTTGCATGAGCGAGTTTGAACCACTTGTACATTCAGGAAGCGTTCAAAAAAAACAACAGCAGTGAAAAAACTCGACACAGAGGAACATTTACACCTCACTGCCAACTAGCGTTTCGGAAGTGTTAATGCAGACCAACAGAGACTGCGCACAGAAGTATAAATGCACAGCTACGCGCGTTGCATGCGCCGTGGGTTACGCCGGTCACTTGACGCAGAAGGCTTTAGCCTTACCTTTCCACCCACCTATTTTAATGCTTATTTTAGATATGTGCATAAAATATTGGTTGATGGAAACGCCAAGATGCACATAACTATTGAAAATTCACATAAAAACATGTGCGCATAACCGAGTAGGATAAACTTTTAATTCAGTAAGAAAAGATGCACATTAACCACAATGGAAACACTTTTACTGAACAAATTCCAGTATACACATTAAAAAAGGTCATGTGATTTTGTTATACGTGATCATGTGATAAATGTGTGTTAATGGACAAACCAGGGGCATTCGGTGTGTGACCCCCCTAAGAAGCATCAAGGGGTTCATCAAAGGCACACATAAGTACGCGTTGTCACACCATCTCTATTTAATTCTAAACAGCTTTGAGTTATGCGGATGTCAGGTGGTTGTTCGTGTAGCTTATAGAAGGCAAATCGCGCAATGCAGCGCATGCGGTAAGTGACACTTCATCAACATGCATGATCGTGTTCATCTAATTTGCTTAAACTAAGCATTCTACAGCATGGCTGTATTTTACAAGCAAGGATTCTGACACAGCAACATGCAGCAGATGCTTAACAAAAGTTGTAAGGGGGGGAAACACGTCAAACTTATGAATCTTTAGGGTTCATGGAATCAACTTAAAGGTGAGGAATGGACTGTCTTTGACAGCTTGTGACATCATCTGGCACTTTCAGTGAGTACATTTACATGGACACCAATACTCTGATTTTAATATGATTAAGACAATACTCTGATCAAAAGTCTTCCACGTAAACTGTGATTTTTGATTATCTTAAAGGACCACAGACACAAACTGCGGAGGAAACATTTATAGCCTGTTGACGCACTGACGTTACTGGATCTATGAGCTATAACATGTAACTGGGAATCATTAATGGAACATTCAAAAAGCCGCTCATGTAAACACCTGAATCATATTATTGTCTTATTCAGATTAAGGCAAATCATCAGATCACTGATGTCCATGTAAAAGTAGTCACAAGCCCCAAACCCAGAAAAAAGGTGCTCCCTGATTTTGATGACAGCCTTTCCACAGGTTAGTAGTAAGCTAATGTAATGTTAATAGCATATTGCAAATCTAGCATTCATGCTAACGAACAAATTATCAAAAGAAATATATTAATGCAATTCAAGTAAATATGAATTGATGTTTACTTTGAACGTATTATAAACATATTTATTTTTTTCCAATTTTAATGTTTCAATTTTTTTTTTTTTTTTTTTGTCAAATAATTTTGTGGCTAAAAAGTATTGGTTCAGGCACTGTTTTGGCACCGGTAGCATTTTAAAAGTATCGATTTAGCACTGGCATCGAAATAACCCCAAACGATACCCAACCCTACTCGTTCTCCTAGCCGACAATAATACATGCTTCTAACAGCGCAGCATCTTGTTGTCATTTCTAATTTACAGTTAAAATCAGAATTATAAGCCCCCTGTTTATTTTTTTCCTCAATTTCTGTTTAACGGAGAGAATATTTCTTCAGCACATTTCTACACAATAGTTTTAATAACTCATTTCTAATATCTGATTTATTTTATCTTTGTCACGATGACAGTAAATAATATTTGACTAGATATTCTTCAAGACACTTCTATACAGCTTAAAGTGACATTTAAAGGCTTAACTAGGTTAATTAGGTTAACTAGGCAGGTTAGGGTAATTAGGCAAGTTATTGTATAACGCTGGTTTGTTCTGTAGACTATCGAAAAAAAATATAGCTTAAACTGGCTAATAATTTTGACCATAAGTATTTTTTTTTTAAATTAAAAGCTGCTTTTATTCTTGCTGAAATAAAGCAAATAAGACTTTCTCCAGAAGAAAAAATATCAGACATACTGTGAGAATGACCTTGCTCTGTTACATCATCATTTGGGAAACATTTCAAATAGAAAAAAAATCGAAGGGGTATTTTCTTAATTATGTTTCTTACTTTCTTCATCAGTTCATATTTTCTGAATGTATCACACAAAACCAAGATAAGGTGTTAAGATGCAAATTTCACTCTATCCTGACTGAAATATAACATTAGCCCTGACTCCATTGCATGAAAGCAAGTTAAAACAATTAAGCTAATGCTAAGCTAAGTTAAGTTAATACATTCTAAAACGCTTAACGTATTTTAAACATTTTTAGGAAAATTATAAAGTCAACCCAAAACACTTCATAATAGGTGCACTCCCAAAACAAACCACTTACTATTTCTCCTGACTGCAGCCAATCAGGTTTCGCTGGTCAGCATTCAGGCAAATATCCCGCCCACGCGCTAATTCCGAGGCGGAGATCAGAGAGAGCTGAATTTTGCTGTTTGAGGATTATTAGTTTAATTCCTCTTCTGTTATAGGTGTTATTCGTCTGTTCAGAGTAAGTGCATGATATCTGACCATAGTAGAGTTCGCAGACTTGCGGTGTGAACCGCTTTAACATGTGTGCTCAATGCTAATATACTCTCTTGTTTTTAGCTCGATGCTACGCTGTAAACACTCTTGTAATGTCTTACTCACGGGTTATCTGGACACCTTTCATTTGTGTCTCCATCTAATTCATTCACTAAGAGGTAGTTTAATGCTGATTATATTGAATATTGACTGTTTAACTGAACATATGCTTGTGTAAACTCTTGAAGAGACGCAAACGCTTTATTTTGCAGTAAAACAGAATTTGGGATTAATATAATAATATAAAACACTTAATTCATTAAAATATTGAGAGATAAATGTAAGCAATCAGAGACATGATCACGCTGCACACATGACATGTAGAATCGACCACTCAAGACTTACACACACATTTATTGAACAGGGGAGAAACACCTATTTGTAGCTTGTGTGAGAACATTTTGGTGATAAAACATTTTAGTAACATGCATTTTTAAAATGTTATTAGAGAGTGTTTTAATTCAGGAAATATTTTGGGGAAAATGTTTTAAAAAGGTGTTTTCTGGAGGAATTTTACAATATTTATCATATTTATGTTGTTGTTTGTATGTTTTAATACAATTAATGATGTTTATTAAAACAGTTTTGATTGTTAATTATGTGCTGAATATTTAATGCAAGTGCTTCTGTTATAAACACTGGAATATTCCCATCAGGCTCAAGTGAAGAGTTTACTGAAGGACAGCGAGAACATGAGTGATCCAGAACCCTGCAGAATTAAACCTGAAGATACTGAACAACAAATAGGTTGGTGTTTATTCCTGATTCTTCCTTAATAATCCTGAAGAACAATGATGATCAAAAGCTTTATCTGAGTTGTTGAACAAGCACAAAAAACAAATGATTTTATATGAAGACTGAAAAAAGTAAATACACTTTCTATTCAAAGGTAATAAATATGGACTGAAGCTCAGTTGTCTTTTAATTGATCAAATAGTCAGTAAAAGGAGATTTGTTAAACATTTAACCCTTTGTCTGGGGTCTGAGGAGAAGTGTTGGCATTCCCTAACATTTGTGCTTTTTTCATTTTTATTTGGTGGTGTGGTGCTGGGGGGGGTGCGCCGCCCAATTTGTCACTAGCCGCCTATGTCTTTTTTTACTCGCACAATCTAGTTCAAAACTGCCCAATCTGGCAACACTGCCTAGATCATGCATTTCTTTGCTTGTCTTTTAGGGATGCTCATAATAATCAATTAATCGTTAAACGAAAGGGTGTGTTTTTAACTGATAATATCAGTTAAACTATTAAAAATTATTATAATATATATTTTTAAAGTTTGGCTGCATAAAGGACCGATCACAGCGAACACGCTTTTTGCATCGAGAGGCGTATCTTTTGAATAGTTTATTATCGATCATGAATGCTTTGCACGCTGCTTTTGCGCCCTGCACGCCTCACGTTTTTGCTGCAAGTACGATGTGTGCTCACGGGAAAAAAAAAGGAAACTGAGTGGAAAAAGCACTTAACATCAGTTGCCTTTTTTTTCTCCAATCAAATGAAAGCAGAGGCAGGGTTTCCGTTGAGGTGACAGCAGTAGGTGCGTTCGACATTAATGAAACATCAATGAGATTAGCTGAGCGCAGGCAGGGGCGAAAAAAAAAAAAAAATTATAACAACAACAAATTTACAAGTAAAACAGAATACAGTCTCTACAAACTAGTTTATTTTAAACAATAAGGGAATTATGAATTAAATATATTACAGACACATGGGAGAAATTAGGGGAAACGAGAGGGCAATATGAACATAAAAATGAACAGGCCTATTAAATACAAAGCAATAAGCACAAATTCTTGGAGTTTAAACATCACTCTAGGGCAGGGGTCTCAAACTCGCGGCCCGCGGGCCATTTGCGGCCCTCAGTGCAATATTTTGTGGCCCGCGCCGACCGCTGTACACTGACAGAATTAGCGGAGCGGGGAGAGAGAGCGCTCCCCGCTCCGCTGATTCTATCAGTACACAGCGGTCACTGGCATTCCCCGCCCGCCGTGTAAACAAAGGAGCGGGGATGCCGGTGACGTCACCACGCACCCCGCCCCTTTGTTAGACGCTGTGACGGGAGGGAAGAACCAAGGTAAGCTGTTCCCGCCCCTGCCTGCCATATGCGCCCGAAAATTTATCTATGCGACCTTATAATATATTTGGGAGCATTAGTGCGACTGCAGATAATGGTTGTAGTGCGACTTGTTTTGATTTTTTTGTAAAAACGTGCTGAATCGCTCTTCCCTGCCGCAATATTGGTTCATATTAGCTGTCAATCACTCAAGGTTTTCCGCTGTCAGATGACAGGGAAGGAGCTTTTATGACCACGGGAAATGCAAACGGCAGAAGAGTAAAAACTTAAAGCACACAGGTTTGCAAACCCCACCTAAAGTTGAGGTGCAGATGAGAGCGATTATGACACGTCACGTGGTGAATAATGATCCACCAGCTGAGATCAATCGAGTACGCGCTTCATGGAGAAGGTGCCCGAATCTCCATGCGTTGCATTCACTGCGTGTTCAGCGCAAATGTCCGCTAAAAGTCAAATCTAATACCATCGCCAAAGAAGCTCGCCTTTACTAAGTTTACACTGAAACTGCGTCTCATAACAAACAGCGGTATTCCACCGGTGGTCATCGCAAGAATCTTGCGCTGCCTGCTCATGAATTAGGTCGGCTGACTCGCCAGCTTTTCCACTAACACAGAAAAATGAAGATCAGCTCAGACTGAACCTTTAAATTGACACAAACTGAAACCAAAACTTTTAAAGAGTGATAGAAGTGAGACTTTACTTTCTTTTGTCTATTCTTTTTTGAGGTGTATATTATTTTTTTATTTATTTCCTGATGACTGCTTTGCAGCTTTCATCATTGAATTGAATGATTTATTATAATCTTTTGTTTGTTTTGTAGCAGAAATATTATTTATTAAATTGACATGCATATAAAAACAGCAGTACAAAATAAATATTTCTTACTGCAATGCTTCATTTTTGTTTGATGCAAACTATACAATTATTTTTCATAAAGTAACAGACTTTTTATAGCAGATAACCTACATTCATGCACATTCAAGGCAGTATCATAATGAGAAATGGAATTCATTACTATTATTGTCATTTTCATCATCATTAATATTCTATAATTATTAGACATTCATTTTGGAATTATTGCACACAAATATCAATGTCTTCGCAGCATTAGTTAGATAGTTGTTTCTGGTTTTTGTCAGTCGAAACACTATTGATGTTGTTTTAAAAATAAATAAATCCCTTAAAAAGCAATTTGCAGCGGTGCTCATTCATTTTTGGTGGGTGCTCCTAAATTTTTTCTGGTGCTCCTAAATTTATTTTGGTGCTCCTAAATATTTGAAGTTGGGAGCACCGGTGCTACCAAGTAAAAAAGTTAATTTCGAGCCCTGTCTTATATATATTATAGGTAGATACAGACTGGTACAGACTGATGTGACTGGAGTGGGGTGGGGGTGTTTTATTTATACATATATACGCCTTTTTTTTAGGTGAGGGAATGGAAGTTTTGAGTGAGTTCCCCCACTTTTTTCCCTAGGACTAGGCCTTTTTGGGAGCACATATTTGTGTGAGAAGTTATTCTCCACCTTGAACTTCAATAAGTCAAAGTACAGGTCTAGACTTAATGATGATCATCTTCAAGCCATACTGAGGGTCTCAACTACTTCCGCTCTAAAGCCAAACGTGGTTCAGATTTGTGAGAAGAAGCGCTGTCAAGTCTCTGGCAGTAAGGAGTAGGCAAAAGATGCCATGTTCAGAAGAACAGTTCATAATCTTCACTCAATGTTCTATTAATGTTCAGGACACTTCATGTTCAGAAGAAATAATTAAAACTGTTAATAATGACATTTGAGCACTTTTTTTTTGTGAAATCCCTTATGCGGCCCAGCCTCACCCAGACTTTGCCTCCTGCGGCCCCCAGGTAAATTGAGTTTGAGACCCCTGCTCTAGGGTAATGCTGCGTTCACACCAGACACGGAACGCGCATCAAGCGCGAGTGATTTACATGTTAAGTTAATGCAAACGCGCGAATAGAAATCCTGCGGCGCGAATGACGCAAATGGCGCGGGGCGAATTGAGCGTTTTGCGCGTTTGACGCGCTTAACGAGCGTTTCGCGCGAATCTCTCGAGTTCGAAAATCTGAACTTCAGCGTACATTCGCGCTGCCCATCACACGAATCCGCGTCTGTTCTGACGTGAATTTGACACGCGAATGAAGCGAGTTATCTCAAATGTTTACGCGGCTATTTATGTGCGAATAGTGCGATTTATCCGCGCGTTCGGCTTCTGGTGTGAACACAGCATTATACTTCTTGTTTAAATATGCTGAAAAGGGGTTTACATTTATTTACATTTAAAGATATAACACTTTCCAATATATATTAATGTATAACCCAAAACAAGGTGTTTTGATTAAGTCTTAAACAATGATTAAGAATTTTTTTGTTAATAAAAGCATTTTTAAAAAGCACTTTAATCCAAAGAGATTGAACAAAAGGACATTACTAAAATAAGTTAGCTACACTTTAAGTAGAAATTTCCCAGAAAGACCAATTATAAACGGCTAGACAGGAAATAATATATATTATTCATATTATTATAAATCATAATCATATCATATTATTGAATATATATATATATATATATATATATATATATATATATATATATATATATATATATATATATATATATAAATATAAATGATTTGAATGAGGCTATTGCACCGACAGTACTGTCATTTTCAAGGGCTTTCCTGATGCTTTTGCTATCAGTGATTTAGCTCACCTTCAGCATGCAGAATAACATCAGTCCACTGTATTTAAAACAACATGGATGTTGACCAATTTAGCTTTGCTAAGCTAACTCTCTAAACGGCAATGTCTCCCTTTGCAAACATGTAACAGGAAAGGACTGAATTTTATTGACAACTTCAGTTTTCTCTGGAATCAAAGACTAGTATTTACATCAGACGGCCTTCATCCAAACAAACTTGGTGCAAAAGTGCTAAAGGACAATATCGATTTCTCCCTTCATCATTTATTGGCTGTGTGTGCCACTGAACTCAGCCCAAATGGCACACGCACACCTATATTAACCTATATATATAATATTCTCCAACTTTTATTGATGATTTTACATAGTTGTTATCAATAGTAACCTCTGAACTTTACTATTTTACCATTGCTGGGGATTTTAATATTCACATTGATAATCCAATTTAATGTGAAACTAAACACTGCTAGGCAGACTTTCTTTTTCAAGCTTTATAAACCGCAACGTAAATAATGCTCATACACTCTTAGACATCCCCCCCAGTCGGATTCCCAGTGAGCTCCTCTCTGAAAGCAAATGTAATGAGTTTGCTCATTTCTTCACTGATAAGATCAATAATATCAGAAAGGCAATCAGCTCATCCAATCAACCAAGATGTGTCGACGTCAAACTAGCTCAACCACAACTTAAGAAATCAGAAATTATGTCTGATTTCATGGCAATTAATGGCAAAATCTTAGAAGAGATTGTGCAAATTATGAAAACATCAACCTGCAGTCTTGACACGCTCCCCACATCATTCTTCAAAACTGTGTTTACCTGTTTAGAAATGGATCTTCTAAAAGTGGTAAATGCTTCACTTCTCTCAGGGATTTTTCCAACCTCACTTAAAACTGCAGTTGTTAAACCCCTCTTGAAGAAGAGCAACCTGGATAACACCCTATTGAGCAATTACAGGCCAATCTCAAATCTCCCTTTCATTGGCAAAATCATAAAAAAAATAGTTTTTAATCAGGTTAACAAGTTCTTAAGCTTCAAGGGGTGTTTAGACAATTTTCAATCTGGTTTCAGAGCACATCACAGTACAGAAAGCGCTCTTATAAAGATAATCAATGATATACGCCTAAATACAGATTCAGGCAAACTAACAGTGCTGGTATTGCTCGATCTCGGTGCTGCATTTGACACTGTCGATCAAAGCATACTTCTGGATAGGCTTTAAAACTGGGCTGGGTTGTCTGGGACTGTCTTCAAATGTTTCAGAAGGGAGAGGTTACCATGTCAGTATAGGTGACCATAGTTCGAGGTGGACACCCATGACATGCAGAGTCCCACAAGGCTCAATTCTGGCACCTCACCTCTTCAACATTTACATGCCTCCTCTGAGCCAAATAATAAAAACCAAATCTCCTACCATAGCTATGCTGATGACACTCAGATCTACTTAGCCTTACTTTCTAATGACTACAGCCCCATTGACACTCTCTGCTACGTTTTGCCCAGTTTCTTTCTTATGGTGGAGTCATGAACACTCACCTCAACTGAGGAAAGTGAGGCCTGCAGGTCTTTTGGTGTTGTAATGGGTCTTTTGTGACCTCTTGGATGAGTTGTTGATGCTCTCTTGGTCTAATTTTGGTCATCCAGCCACTCCTAGGAAGGTGATGAACAGGGAAAACACCAACAGGGAAAACACCAACAATCAAGAATGCATGATTATTTGCTGTCATGGCTTTGCAATAAAAAAATGTGGTTCTAATGGAAGTCAATGGGGTAAAAACGGTCACAAACAAAATGAAAGGGTAGTCAATTTGCCCAGAGTGTTTATTGTTGAGTTTTTGAAAAGTTCCAAAGCATTTTCCTAACAAATGTGTCAAAATAAGATTTGTCATCAAACATCAGTCCATTTGCTGAAACACTGAGAAAGTTGTGGCCAAATTAAAACTCAACATCAGCCCAGAGTGGATGAAAACAACCCAGCGGCACACAGAGGGCTAAATGTGCACATTTCAGACTTTATACAGATTTGTCACATTGAATGTGCATCAAATTTGCAGCTTGTGTAGCCAATGATTTAGCACCTTTTGACTTCAGCTTTTAATGGGAGTTGTAAAAACTTAATAAAAACCTGTTTTTTTTTCAGACCTTATTGAAGAAAATGTGGCGAGTAAAGAGAAGGAACGTCATGTCAAAATTGAGGAAAAAAATCATTTACAGACTTCCGGAGGCAAGAATCATTTCGCCTGCACTCAGTGTGGAACGAGTTGTAGCAGAAAAAGCCATCTTAAGGTTCACATGAGGATCCACACTGGAGAGAAACCATTCACATGCACTCAGTGTGGGAAGAGTTTCAGCGTCTTGTCAAACCTTAATAAACACATGAAGATTCACACTGAAGAGAAACCATTCATATGCACTCAGTGTGGGAAGAGATGTAGAAGAAAAGAAGATCTTAAGGTTCACATGAGGTTCCACACTGGAGAGAAACCATTCACCTGCACTGAGTGTGGGAAGAGTTTCAGGCTGTCGCAACAACTTACTCATCACATGAGGATCCACACTGGAGAAAAACCATTCACATGTTCTCAGTGTGGGAAGAGCTTCATCCAGTTAACAAACCTTAATGATCACGTGAAGATCCACACTGGAGAGAAATCTTTCACATGTTCTCAGTGTGGGAAAAGCTTTAGCCGTTCATCAACCCTGAATAATCACATGAGGATCCACACTGGAGAGAAACCATTCCCATGCACTGAGTGCGGGAAGGTTTTTAGGCTGTCGCCACACCTTACTCAACACATGAGGATCCACACTGGAGAGAAAACATTCACATGTTCTCAGTGTGGGAAGAGCTTCATCCAGTTATCAAACCTTAGTAATCACATGAAGATCCACACTGGTGAGAAACCATTCACATGCACTCAGTGTGGAAAGAGTTTTATCTTCTCATCATCCCTTAATAATCACATGAAGATCCACTCCGGAGAGAAACCATTCAAATGCACTCAATGTGGGAGGAGCTTCATACTATCATCAAACCTTAATCAACACATGAGGATCCACACTGGAGAGAGACCATTCACATGCACTGAGTGTGGGAAGAGCTTCAGTCATTCTTCATGCCTTAAATTCCACATGAACATCCACACCGGAGAGAAACCATTCACGTGTTCTCAGTGTGGGAAGATTTTCAGATCCTCGCCAAACCTTAATCAACACATGAAGATCCACACTAGAGAGAAACCATTCACATGCACTCAGTGTGGGAAGAGTTTCAACCAATCATCTGACCTTAATCAACACATGAAGATCCACACTGAAGTAGGCATGGGATAACCGTTTTCAAGGTTTGGAAAAGTCAAGGTTTTAGAACCACCAAAATGTTCTGCTATATCGTTCCTATGGTGTGTGTCAGTCTTTTATTTACAGTTTTTGTTTTGTGTTTAGGACAACAGTATCTCCAGCAGAAATCAGATCTAAAATGCCTTTTTAAATTGTAAATAAATCTGTGTTTCTGAATCTAATGAAGACAGCAGAAGTCAATGATACATTTGAATTATTCAGCCTGACATGTTTACTGCTCCACAATATTATAAATGTTTCTCAAATTAAAATATCTTGTGTTCAAAGGGGGAAAAGTGTTAGTTCTTCACCCAGACATTTAAGAAGAGCGTATATTAAGGCAGTAATCACAATAACGTCAAACCGTTATATTTTTATCCAAGGTTATCATACCAGCAGAGTCTAATATCGGCCCATGCCTATGTAACCCCTCTTACCGTCTTCACACCAAAAGCGGTGAGAGCGTCCAAGGTCGCTCTGGCTGCCCTGGCGACAACGCTGTCTGCCTTCAGCGTCAAAACTCGCTACATTGATCTCATATTTAAAGGAGCCGTTGCAGCATATCAGTTACATTCCTGCATAAAACATGCTTCTAGCGTGAAAAATGTTGCGCACTTCTTATCAAATTCATATAACAATGTAAGATCAAGTTGCGTGTTGTGCTCTATTTATCCAATATGTGTCCACAAGTCTGAAATATCCTGAAGCAGCAATACTGTTTTGTACTGTCAAGTCGTGTGAGGTTCCTGCTTTTTTAAGATAAATTTGTATAACATTAATGAACATCAGTAACTTGCCAGTAACTTATTTAATGCATGTTCTTGTAAGAAAACATTGTAAATAATTGGAAATCCGGCGACCGCAATCATCAAACCCATGGGAACAACTGTGGTCGGAACCAAAGTTCACAGGTCTGTGTTCTCTGAACTTCCGGCTACTTTGACTCTCTCGCCATTTTCGGTGTAAACGTACGGTTAGTTCGTATAATCTTTTTTTTTTTTTTTAAGTAATGATGACGCGAAAGCAGTTTGGCTGAGCACATTCACTTTTTAGTTTTCACTGGAATTACTGGTCCGGTCTGTAAGTTCCATCCAGTTGGTCCAATGACGGTGTCCACTAGTGGATGACGGTTCAATGCCTGTTCGGTCTTTCCAGTGCACAATGTTTATTTTCTTTAAATGTAACTCGTATCTGACTCCAATTTGAGTATGAGGTGGTTTAGAATAATAATATATTTATTTTTAGTTTTATCTGACCCCATTCATAAAACATTAAGAAGATTATGTCAATATATCATTTAGATGAATGTTTGAACCTGTTGTCTTCACTCGTAACTATTACATTTGTTCATTCGGGTGCTCAGAGAAATCGCCCCAGCTGATGGCGTCCCTCACGGTCACACTCTTGTCAGTCTTGAAAATTAAACAGAGGTAATTGACTAATACTTTTAGATGTATTAGTATGCGCTAAATCAGTGTCTGGACAATTTTGCACAAACATTGCGACTTCATAACTCAAATTGTCCATACGTCTACCCTGAACCCTGAGAGACACTCGTCAGCCATGTCTGCTGCCTTATTCAGCTGCAGCCAGTAGTCAACAGGGTTCTCACCGTATCTAGGTAAAGTAAAAATCAGCAAGTGGCATACTAGAATTGGACATATTACTGAAATGTTGCTCAAGTATGCTGTATATCAAATTTGGTTGCGTTTTGCAGTCTAACGTAGGGTTACTGTGCAGAGTTACTTTTACATGTTTTGCCCTGCCCATAAGATGACTATTTTGTCTGCATGATCAGGAATGTCAACATTTATTTTTTTGTAGGTAAAGCTGCATCATGGAGTAGTAATAGTAATAATAAAAATAATTCTTTACATTTATATAGCGCTTTTCTGGACACTCAAAGCGCTTTACACATTGGGGGGAATCTTCTTATCCACCACCAGTGTGCAGCATTCACCAGAATGATGCAACGGCAGCCATATTGCGCCAGCCCGCACACCACACATCAGCTGATTGGTGGAGAGGAGACAGAGGCTGCGTCCGAAACCGCCTACTACTCAGTAGGTACTGCATTTAAACTTAAAGTACTACTCGGCCGTTAGAAAAGTACGTTCTATACAGTATGAATGTGAAAAGTATGAATGGAATTCGGACGTACTACATCTGCCATTTTGTCATGGTTACGTGACCTGTCTGCGTCAATTGCGTCGCTTTACTCCCATTCATGAATTCGCTCGCGGGACATCATGGGATAGCGCAGCATGCATGGGATGCGCACTCTAGAATCTCGCCGGAAGTAGTAAGTCATCCGGGTACTTCTTGCATACTGTTTTTCGAATTCTATGAATTCGGACATACTACTCGTCTCGCATACTGATTTTCAGAGTACTATATAGTATGGAAGTATGCGATTTCGGACGCAGCCAGAGTGATGAAGCCAATTATGATTAAGGGTTAAACCCCTACTCTTTTTTTTTTTCCCGAAGGACATCCTGGGATTTTCAATGACCACAGAGAGTCAGGACCTCAATTTAATGTCTCATCCGAATGACGGCGCTCACTGAGCAGTATGTTGTCCCAGAGACCGCACGTTGCGCCCCCTGCTGGTCTCGCTAACACCACTTCCAGCAGCTACCTAGCCTTCCTAAGTGGTCTCCCATCCAGGTACTGACCTAGCGCAGCCCTGCTTAGCTTCACTGGGTGACCATGTGAGATGATGAAACTGATTGCATTTATAGACATACCAGGTAAAATAAGAAGATTTAGTACAGAATTGTACTCATGCTGGAACATTTACATATAACAGATCATATAAATTTATATTCAGAGCAGCATTCAAGTAAAATAAATCTATTATTGAGGAATTAAACTTAAGTGAAAAGTTTGCTTTGCTTCATAAACAATAGTTTATTCCTATTCTTAATCATTTTCAAACTCAGAAAGCAGTTTAGTATTGAAGGGGAAACATTTGGACACATGCCCAGTACCAATAATAGTCTCAAATCAGATCGTGCAATGTTAATATCTTTATTTGTACCTTTTCCAGAGAAATCTCCCATTCATTCAGAGGTAAACCAGAACTAAAAATACTGCGTTGCCGATAGGGTGAAGTGACGTCGTTGTGGAAAGGCAGCAAATCATCTTTCTCAGAGCCAGCTACAGGCAGCCAATCCGCTTTCGCTGATCAGCGTGCAGGCAAATATCCCGCCCACAGCGCTTATTCTGAGGCGGAGATCGGAGAGAGCGGATTTTTGTTGTTTAATTGGTTTATTTAGTTTTATGTTACGGGTGTTGTTCGTCTGTTCAGAGTAAGTGTATGATATCTGACCATAGTAGCGTTCGCAGACTTGCGGGAATTATCTTGCGGTGTGAACCGCTTTAACATATGTGCTCAATGCTAATATACTCTCTTGTTTTTAGCTCGATGCTACGCTGTAAACACTCTTGTAATGTCTTACTCACGGGTTATCTGGACACCTTTCATTTGTGTCTCCATCTAATTCATTCACTAAGAGGTAGTTTAATGCTGATTATGTTGAATATTGACTGTTTAACTGAACATATGCTTGTGTAAACTCTTGAAGAGACGCAAACGCTTTATTTTGCAGTAAAACAGAATTTGGGATTAGTATAATAATATAAAACACTTAATTCATTAAAATATTGAGAGATAAATGTAAGCAATCAGAGACATGATCACGCTGCACACATGAGATGTAGAATCGGCCACTCAAGACTTACACACACATTTATTGAACAGGGGAGAAACACCTATTTGTAGCTTGTGTGAGAATATTTTGATGATAAAACATATTTTAATAGGATGAATTTTTAAAATGATATTAGAGAGTGTTTTAATCCAGGAAATATTTTGAGGAAAATTTTTTAAAAATGTGTTTTCTATTTACAATATTTATCATATTTATGTTGTTGTTTGTATGTTTTCAATACAATTAATGATGTTTAAGAAGCAGTTATGATTGTAAATTATATACTGAATATTTAATGCAAGTGTTTCTGTTATAAATGCAGGAATATTCGCATCAGGCTCAAGTGAAGAGTTTACTGAAGGACAGCGAGAACATGAGTGATCCAGAACCCTGCAGAATTAAACCTGAAGATACTGAACAACAAATAGGTTGGTGTTTATTCCTGATTCTTCATTAATAAGCCTGAAAAACAATAATGATGAGAAGCTTTGAACAGTTGATCTGTTTTATTGAGCGAGCACAGGAGGAAACAAGTGATGTTATATAAAGAGAGAGAAAAGCTAGTACACTTTCTATTGACAAGGTAACAAATAGAGACTGTTGCTCAGTTGTCTTTTATTCTGTTGGTAATCAGGGTGTCACAATCCTCCAAATCCTCGATTCGATTACATTTTCGATTCTAAAGTCACGGTTCGATTATGAGTAATCAATTAATAAATATCGAATTAATTATTTGTAGCCTACCGTTTAAACTACCTGACCTGCATGGTCTTTGTTTTACCCATAAACAAATCATACAGTAAATGAATAAAGGCAAGATACACACATAATCACCACCTGTCAATCACTTTTTCTGCGGGACTCGTGAATAGGCAGAGATCTGTGTCGTTATAATGGCGTCGGTTAAAAAGACACACAACCAACAGAAAACAGCCAACAGTATCTGAGGTGTTCGCTAAAATGACTAAGTACAAGTGAGTGAAAGATTGAAGCAGTCTATTAATCCTCTGACTGCCTGGACCTGCTGTCTTGGAACGCATGACTGTGTGTGCGTCTGTGTGTGCGTCTGTTTCTGTTTATCTGTGTGTGCGTCTGTGTCTGTGTGTGCGTCTGTGTCTGTGTGTGAATTGAGTTTGTGTGGTCAGGTGATGTGTGTTTTCAGCAGTAGTGAGGAAGGAGGGCTGCTCAGAAATGCTACAGGTCTGAGTGTGTACTTTTCGCGAGTGGATTTGCAATGGGGGCGGGGCGGAGGATCACGATGCGCCCATCGTCTATCGGCCCAACCCTAATACTTGCATAGCAGAGCTTGCAAACTGTGTGTTTTTTTTTGTCGACAACACCATGTTATCAACTCACTGGAAATCTAAAATACTTCCACACCGGAGAAAAGAAGGAGAAGAGGGTTTAAGCTCTGTCGGCGGGTCTCCTGCGTCTGCAGTTTAACAAGCCTGTTTTTTTCCCGCTTGGCAAGTCAAGCTGACGTGACATGGGGGCGTGGCAGCATCGACAATTCTATCTTTTGATTCGATAATCGAAATTGAGCATAAATTTCGATCGATTTTGATTTAAAATCGAAATCGTGACACCCCTAGTTGAGAAAAAGGACTATATACATATATATATTTTTTTTCTTCTTTTTATATCAAATTAATATTTGAATTGGTCATTTAAGGGTCATAAATTTACTGAACGTCTCCTGTTGTGTGTGGGATGCTGTGCAAACTAATTAACATTTTTGCAGAAGTAGATTAAATTCAGCTCTGCAGAAACCTAACTGTCTGAAGAAAGGTGTTAACTTAACACACAACACAGAACGCCTTATGTTTTTATTGTCGTGCAGAAAGTTAGTAGAAAAACAGGACTTATGTCTGAGGTGCGGCCAATGGAGGGCTGGAGAATGATTGACTAGTGACTAATTTCACTAAACTCCACCTGTTGATATCAGCTGCCTATATAAGTTGAAGTCAGGAAATGAAAACTGTTGCACACCTCCTGAATGTAACTTGCGTTAAGAATAACAGAATTCTGTGAATCGAATTATTCATTTGTATCTAATAAATTATGATTTTTGACATTGAAGAAAAACCTCTCCTGACCTTTTTAATTGAACACGCATGGAATTGATTCAATATTCCAACAATTCCCATGTTTTGATCAATAATATTAACAATAACAATAACCATGATATTCATAAACCATATTCAATCATGAGTTATATGTAAGCACTCCTCTCTTTGTGTCATGTCTTTTGGAAGCCCAAATACAGAAACAGAACAAGCTCAGTGAAAGTTGCACTATTGGACGGCATTTTACCCTTCTCTGCTACTAGCATTACAGCACCTCTGTGGCCGCTGCCCTTCGCCATGTGTTTCATGGGGTGTAAACTGATGGGTTTATGACATTATTAATCTGGAAGTGTTTTACCTTATTTATATAGCACCTTAAAACAAAATTAATGTTGACCAACTTAGCTGTGCTAAGCTAACTGTAAACGCATAGCTCCCTTTGCATTGAACTTTGAGCGCTTTGAATTCATTTACTTTATGAAACCACTACTGTTATATTTGTCTCTCTTGCATGTTTGTCACACTCAGATAATCAAACTAAATACTAGTTAAAGATAAACTAAACACATTTTTCACTTTTGACATGAAGTTTACTGCGATATTGCATGACCCTGTGTGAAAAAGTGTTTACCCCCAAACCTAATAACTGGTTGGGACACCCTTAGTCACAACAACAGCTTCTCAAAGAGATTCAAGTCAGGTCTTTGACTAGGCCACTCCACAATATTCATTTTGTTTTTATTCAGCCATTCAGAAGTGCACTTGCTGGTGTGCTTTGAATCATTGTCCTGCTGGAGAACCCAAGTTTGCTTCAGCTTGAGGTCACTAACAAATGGCCTGGTGCCTGTTTCAGAAAGCAGGTTAAGTGAAAACTCAGAGTATTTTAACCCTGAAATGAGAGAAACTCTGGGTTTTCCGTTTCAAAACTGGAGAAAGCAGGGTAAGTCAAGCCTGTTTCTGAAAGAGGTAAATTGAACTCAGAGTCAGTTACTGTGGTAACTTACTCTGTGAATCTAACCTGGTCAGAAGCAGGTTTTATTCTCTAAACTCAGAGTTTCTGTCGGTCTCCTCCCCTCTTTTAAAAATGAAGCGGTATTTCTCTCCTTAGCCTTACGTTTCCACACACCTATTTTAATGCTCGTTTTGGAGATGCGCATGGAAACGTCATGATGCACATAAAAACATGCGCATAACTGAGTAGGATAAACTTTTATTCGATAGAAAATATGCGCATAAACTACGATGGAAACACTTTTACTGAACAAATTACAGTAGGCTATGTACATTAAAAAAAAAGGTCACGTTCATATGATGATGAAAATGTGTGTGAATGGACAAACCAGCAGGCTGAGCACACTGTAACACGTCTTAAATATTGTTTTAGTCGTTCTAAAATGCCTGAACTGTTTCAGTATTATTGTATATAGTTACCTGGAGCATGTGAAGAGTCTCCGCGTCTCATGGCTTCAAACGCCCCCACGTGTTCATTGTGTGTCAGCATTGTCTTCTGTCTCTGAGACGCAAGTACATTTATTAAATGTAGAATTAATTGACGCAGCTTCTTCTACCACAGTAAATTCTGTTTTTACTGTTGTTATTTGGCGGCAGTTAATCAGGAAGTGACAATTTTGTTTTTGACTTGTTGAATGGGTACGTTGCTTTATTCGCGTCTTTTATGCAATATTCTAGTTTTGCACAAATTCATGTAATATATTTGGATGGAAACACAGCTATTGACATAATAGTCACACAAAGAACAAAGTCACGTACGAGAATGGCTTGTCCTTTTTTAATAAATAACTAGCTTAAATTCACAGACCTTCGACATGTACTGTTATAGATTAATGGGATTATTATTCTTTCTAAAAAGTATTTTTAGTTCTGCTTACCTTCTAAATTTTATATCAACCTCTATCACTTGAGCACTAAAAAATGCAGACACACAATTTCACTGTTAAATCTATTAAAACTGATAAACGTGTATAAAAGTTTAGAAAAAATGTATAAACGTCACACATTACTTATTTTATTGTACTTAAATATTTAAATACTTTAAATGTAAAATTATGCATTAACTTGAGCAGTTTTTCCAGGCTCTCTCTGTTTCACTGATGGTTGCTTTTTTTTAAATATATACACTCATATTTGCTATAACGTTGCATGAGCACATCAAGTTCAGCTGGAGAAAGAAACGGTCATCTCTTTTTTCAGATGTTGTAATTGTCACTCGTAATATCTGCGCTCCATTGATAATGCCTCTTTATAGTTGTGGTGCGCGCGCTTAACTCTGAGTTGGTCTACTCAAAGTTGATTGATCCAACTCAGATCAGTTGTTCTGAAACCGAAAACTCAGTTTTTAATCTCTCGGTAAATCAACTCAGAGTTCAAGTTTAAACTCCGAGTTGGTTGAACCTCCTTACTGAAACAGGCCCCTGATGTTCTCCTTTAGGATATTTTTACTGTTGGTATGATGTTCAATTTATGGAATGCAGTGTTATTTTTACACCACACATAATGGCACACACCTTGCAAAAAGTTCATCCTTTGTCAGTTCATAGAACATTTTCCCAAAGGTCTTGGGAAATTATCAAGATGTTTTCTGACACACCTGAGACGAGCTTTTATGTTGTTTCAGCTCAGCAGTGGTTTTCTTATTGGAGCGTCATGTTTTTGCCGGTTTCTTTCTTATGGTGGAGTCATGAACACTCGCCTTAACTGAGGAAAGTGAGGCCTGCAGGTCTTTAGTGACCTCTTGGATGAGTTCTCGATGAGTTGTCGATGCTCTCTTGACATAATTTTGGTCATCCGGCCACTCCTAGGAAGGTTATCAACAGTTAAAATCACAAATTTAATCTCTTCCCAACAGGGAAAACAGCAACAATCAAGAATGGATGATTATTTGCTGTCATGGCTTTGCAATCAAAAAATATGGTTCTAATGGAAGTCAATGGGGTAAAAACAGCCACAGACATAATGAAAGGGTAGTCAATTTGCCCAGAGTGTTTATTGTTGAGTTTTTAAAACGTTCCAAAGCATTTTCCCAACAAATGTGTCAAAATAAGATTTGTCATCTAACATCAGTTTATTTGCTGAAACACTGAGAAAGTTGTGGCCAAATTAAAACTCAAAATCACCCAGAGTAAATAAAAATGACCCAGGAGCACACAAGGTTTAAAGGTGCACTTTTCAGGCTTTATGCAGATTTGTTACATTATGTGAATCACAATTACAGCTTGTATAGGAAATGACTTAGCACCTTTGATTTCAGCTTTTGATGAGAGTTATAAAAACTTAATAAAAACCTGTTTTTTTATTTTATTTCAGACCTTATTGAAGAAAATGAGGTGAGTAAAGAGGAGGAACATCATGTCAAAATTGAGGAAAAAAATAATTTACAGACTTGCAGTATTTTGAAAAAGAGAGACAAGAAACCATTCACCTGCACTCAGTGTGGGAAGAGCTTCAGCCAATCATCAATCCTTAATAAACACATGAAGATCCACACTGGAGAGAAACCATTCAGATGCACCAAGTGTGGAAAGAGTTTCTGCCAGTCATCACAACTTACTCAACACATGAGGATCCACACTGGAGAGAAACCATTCACATGCACTCAGTGTGGGAAGAGTTTCAGCCAATCATCACACCTTAATAAACACAAGACAATCCATGCTGGAGAGAAACCATTCACATGTATTCATTGTGGGAAGAGCTTCAGCCAATCATCAAACCTTAATAGACACATGAAGATTCGCACTGGAGAGAAACCATTCACCTGCACTCAGTGTGGGAAGAGCTTCTGCCAGTCATCACAACTTACTCAACACATGAGGATCCACACTGGAGAGAAACCATTGACATGCACTCAGTGTGGGAAGAGCTACAGACAAAAATCAACTCTTAATAAACACAAGAAAATTCACACTGGGGAGAAACCATTCAGATGCACTCAGTGTGGGAAGAGTTTCACCTTCTCATCAAACTATAAAAAGCACATGAGGATCCACACTGGAGAGAAACCATTTACCTGTTCTCAATGTGGGAAGAGCTTCATCTTCTCGTCAAACCTTAATCAACACATGAGGATCCACAATGGAGAAAAACCGTTCACATGCACTCACTGTGAAAAGAGCTTCAGCCGATCTTCAAGTCTTAAACTACACATGAAGATCCACACTGAAGTAGGTGTTATAATATCTAGCCAATTGCATGCATGTTCTGTAAGAAAAGGTCAGGAGAGGGGTTTCTTTAATGCCAAAAATATTAGTAATTTATTCGATACAAATAAATAATTTGATGACAGAGCTCTGGATTGTTACCCTAATGCAATACAAGAATTACATTCAAGAGGTTCGCAACTAACATACATTTCCTGACTCCAGCATATATACACAACTCTTATTAACAGGTGGAGTATTGGTGTACCGTCACTTATCAATCATTCTGCTGTCCTTTGGCTCCTGCACCCCAAACATACTTCCTCTTTCTGCAACCCTTCTTTGCATATCAGAACTGAACAGCTAAATGTATCTTTAATAAATTTTACAACTTCTTCAAGCATCATGACAAATTGTGACATGTCCAGGCTTGTTATTAGACCGCAGTCTGGAGCAAGGGCCCCTGCACTATATATATATATATATTTTTGCTATTTCCCTCTTGTTAGCAGTTCCTTCTAAAAAGTACCCTAGTAGCAAAGAATTCTGGCTCAGATTTGGCATAAAGCTGGGACATCAGGCATTCATCCGGCACTGGCATACAGCATGTGGGCCAACCATGGCCTGGGTTTGGCAGAGGTGGCACCGTCTATAATGCGGCACACAAGATTTGGGCCAGATGTAAAACGTTGTATTTGGCCCAGATTTTAAAAATTGATTGTGGGCCACGTGAGTTTGGCCAGTCTTGACCCACATTTAAAATACATAAATAATTTTTGATTAAATCAATTCCACCAATCAGGTCACTGAGAAAAACAAGGCCCATAGTGTGCCTAAAGCACAACGCTTCATAGGTTTATTAATTTCATTGCAATCGTGACACACCAACCTTTCTGGCCCAATTCAGGCCCAGTTATGAGTTATTATCTTGGCTGAGACTTGGCCCAGATATGGTCCGTGTTTGGCCCTTGTCTGGAAGCCAGATTTGGTCCAGTCATGTACCGTAATACACTGCGGCATGTGGGCCAAGCAAAACCTGATTGTGTGGGCCAGAGCTGGGCCAGAGAAATTTTGCTATGTGGGTATGCAACAGTAGAGCTGCACAATTAATCGTGAAAAGATTGCAATCTCGCGTCTACTTTAGTGAACAGAACCTGCATATGCTGCGAGTAACAGGTAATACAGTTGTAAATAATATTCAGTTTGTGGCACAGAGTGATCGTTTTGGAGCCGCGCGAAGTATGAACAAGCACTTAGCAGTCAAAATGAAACCGAAAGTGTGCACTTCATTTAAATGATCATATCGCATTTTAGAGTTATGATTATGACAAGCATTTGATATGTGTTTTCTTTCATAGCGAACAGAGTTGGGCATTAAAATAAATGTTTATAGTGTCAGTATAACTACTCTAGCCTATATATTGTTGAATATAATCTGATAATGGCAAATGTCTGATTTCACCAGTGAATAAAATTGTCTAATATGACAGATTGCAAGCAAATATCTCAAACATAATTCAACATCAGAATTATTATAAGTAGAATAGAATTATTTATTGAAGTCAGTAGACCTACACATGATATTATTATCGATGTTGTGCCATATGTTTGCTTTTACCATACCTTTATTTTACATCTACAGAATCGTGAACCGTGATCTTTATTTTAAGCAAAAGTATTGCGATTCTCATTTTAGCCAGAATCGTGCAGCTCTACAACACAGTAAGAAAGAAGAAGTGTGTCTGGTTGATATGTGGTGTCATACCAAAGAAAAAGATTGATTAATCCGCTGTTGGTCTAAATGGTTTTTCTAATAAAAAATAAAGACACAAGTAATAAAAATAAATTCTCCTATTTCACTGCATAGGCGTGGAACAATAACCGTTTTCAAGGTGTACCGCGGTCTGGAAAAGTCAAGGTTTTAAAATTTCCAAAATGTTCTGCTATACCGTCCTGTGGTATATGGCAGATTTTTCTCTGTTTTGTGTTAAGTACAACAGTATCTCCAGCAAAAAAATATATCTAAAGATGCCAATTTAAACTGTAAATAAATCTGTGTTTCTGAAACTAATGAAGACAGCAGAAGACAATGATTTATTTGAATTATTCAGCCTGACATGTGTACTGCTCCACAATATTTGATTTGTTTCTCAAAATAAAATATTTTGTGTTCAAAGGAGGAAAATCTTTAGCTTTTTACCCAGACATTTAAGAAGAGCATATTTTGGAGCAGTAATTACAATACCGTCCATGCCTACACTGGAGAAAGGCCATTTACATGTCCTCAGTGTGAGAAGAGTTTCAGACGATTGACACACCACCAGTAAGATATGAGTTAAATTTAAAGTAAATCAACATTGTCCACTGAAAAGACCGAACATGTAATGAACCTTCGTCCACCAGTAGACACCATCGTTGGAGTAACTGGCTGGACCTTACAGCCCATGTGCGCACTGGCCGCGCACCTTCATTTAAAAACAACAAACATGTGCAAACTCTAGAAATAGATGATATGCGAACAGTGCCTCAAAGGCCACCATCATTGCGATCTCCATCAGTTGAACTTCTTGCACAGACATGGTGGATTCACCTGATTTGTTAACAAATGGGTTACGAATCCATACAGCCCTGACTTTACATGAAAGCAAGTTAATAATTAAGCTAAGTTCACTTCAGAATAACGTAGTTTAAACATTTTAAAGAAAATTTGAAAAGTCAACCCAAAACACTTCATAATAAGTGCACTCCCAAAACAAACCACTTACTATTTCTCCTCACTGAATTCTCGCAATTCTTCTGAACCTACAGACAGCCAATCAGCTTTCTCAGAACTAGCTACAGACAGCCAATCAGCTTTCTCAGAACTAGCTATAGGCAGCCAATCGGCTTTCGCTGATTGACGTGCAGGCAAAAATCCCGCTACAGGACTTATTTTGAGGTGGAGATCAGAAAGAGCAGAACTTTGCTGTTTGAGGATTAATTGGTTTAATTCCTCTTCTGTTACGTGTGTTGTTCGTCTGTTCAGGGTAAGTGTATGATATCTGACCATAGTAGCGTTGCAGACTTGCGGGAATTATCTTGCGGTTTGAACCGCTTTAACATATGTGCTCAATGCTAATATACTCTCTTGTTTTTAGCTCGATGCTACGCTGTAAACACTCTTGTAATGTCTTACTCACGGGTTATCTGGACACCTTTCATTTGTGTCTCCATCTAATTCATGAGATGTAGAATCGACCGCTCAAGACTTACACATACATTTATTTAACATGGGAGAAACACCTATTTGTAGCTTGTGTGAGAATATTTTGATGATGAAACATATTTTAATAGGATGTATTTTTATAATGATATTAGAGAGTTTTTTTGATCCAGAAAATATTTTGAGGAAAATGTTTAGAAAATATGTTTTCTGGAGGAATTTTACAATATTTGTCATTGATCAGACTGAAAGACTTTTATAAGACTTTATTCATCAGTGTTGTTGTTGTTGTTGTTTGTATGTTTTCTATACAATTATTGATGTTTCAGAAACAGTTATGGTTGTAAATTATGTGCTGAATATTTAATGCAAGTGTTTCTCTTATAAACACAGGAATATTCCCATCAGGCTCAAGTGAAGAGTTTACTGAAGGACAGTGAGAACATGAGTGATCCAGAACCCTGCAGAATTAAACCTGAAGATACTGAACAACAAATAGGTTGGTGTTTATTCCTGATTCTTCATTAATAAGCCTGGAGAACAATAATGATGAGAAGCTTTGAACAGTTGATCTCCCAGGAAGGTTTGACATTGTTCAATTTTCCATGGCATTTATAGATAATGGCTTTCACTGTGGTTTACTGCAGTCCCAAAGCTTTAGAAATGACTTTATAACCTTTATAACCTATGCTATTAACATGAAGTATGCATATAATAAGGTACAGTATATGTCAAAAGCATCAGTGCAATATCAGACAGCACTTGTGAAAACAGCACAATTATACTGTTAACAGATTCATTCAAGCAGTGCATGCAGGGACAGTGAGCGCTCCGTGTATCTTTTGGTTACTCAGTTCTGTAAAAAAAAAAAAAAGTATTTTCTTGTAATAATGGGATTTCGCTGTGACATATTTTCCTTACGCTTGCATATATATATATGAGTGCTTTCGCCTCACAGCAAGAAGGTCGCTGGGTTGCTGGTTTGAACCTCGGCTCTGTTGGCGTTTCTGTGTGGAGTTTGCATGTTCTCCCTGCCTTCGCGTGGGTTTCCCCCACAGTCCAAAGACATGCGGTACAGGTGAATTGGGCAGGCTAAATTGTCCGTAGTGTGTAAATGTGTGTGTGGGTGTTTCCCAGAGATGCGTTGCGGCTGGAAGGGCATCCGCTGTGTAAAAACTTGCTGGATAAGTTGGCGGTTCGTTCCACTGTGGCGATCCCGGATTAATAAAGGGACTCAGCCGACAAGAAAATTAAATGATGAAATGATGTGATGGTGTGCTATATCTGGCTGATTTCTGCTGAACTGGGCGGGTTGTGTGATGTTTGATTCGGGGGACGTTCTGGGGTTGGGTTTGCGTTATGCAATGCGAGGTACTAGCCTGACAGTGAAAACACAACATGATTTCAGCCTCGCTGCTCAAGCTCCCGGCCCAATAAAAGCCCTGGCTTGCAATAACCCGACAGTGAAAATGCAGCTCATGTTTTAGTGTGTTTTGACGTCAGCTTTTGATGAGAGTTTTAAAGACTTCATAAAAAACTGATCTTTTTTTGTTTATTTCAGATCTAATTGAAGAAAATGTTGCGAGTAAAGAGGAGGAACATCATGTCAAAATTGAGGAAAAAATTCATTTACAGACTTGCGGTATTTTAAAAACGAGAGACAAGAAACCATTCACCTGCACTCAGTGTGGGAAGAGCTTCAGCCAATCATCTATCCTCAATAGACACATGAAGATCCACACTGAAGAGAAACCATTCACATGCACTGAATGTGGGAAGAGTTTCTACCAGTCATCACAACTTACTCCACACATGAGGATCC